AGAAATAAAAAATAAACCAACCCCAAACTCCTGCTACATTAACCCTTTGTGAACTTTTTTTTCTAGACAGTGTCTTGTCGTCTGTGCCCAGGCATGAGAGATGCAGCGGCTACGTCTGGCACATGCAGTTCGGACCTCGGGAGTTCAAAGTGATTCTTCCTGCCTCAGCATCCCAAAGTAGGTTGGGGTCAGGCTTGGTACTACAGGCATGTACACGCGATACCCAGGTGATTTTTTCATTTTTGGTAGAGATGGTGTCTCCATAGGTCTTTCTAGGCTGGTCTTGAACTCCTGGGGGCTCAACTGATCCGCCTCCAAAGGCGGCTAGGAATTACAGGCAAGGAGCACTTGCAACCCAGCCCCAGCCTTCCCCGCCAGCCTTTTTTTTTTTTTTTTTTAAATAAGACAACTTCTCACTCTGTCTCCCAGGCTGGAGTGCAGTGGCGCGATCTTGGCTCACTGCAAACTCTACCTCTCAGGTTCAGCAATTCTCCTGCCTCAGCCTCCCAAGTAGCTGGAATTACAGGCACACACCACCATGCCTGGGTAATTTTTGTATTTTTATTTTTATTTGTTTATTTTTTTTGTAGGGACGGGGTTTCACCATGTTGGCCAGGCTGGTCTCAAACTCCTGACCTCAGATGATCTGTCTGCCTCGGCCTCCCAAAGTGCTGGGATTACAGGCATGAGCCACCGTGCCTGGCCAACCCTGGCCCCCTTGTTAACTTTTCTATGATCAATGTCCCATATCTGCTTTGTTGATTAGTCTAGGCTCCCGAGTGCCCGGCACACAGTATTTTCTGAATGAGTAACTGGATGATGTTGCTGCCTTCCAGAGGCCCTTCAGGTTTTATGCGCAGGCTCAACGGTCATCTCTCCTTTGACTCTGACATCTAGTTCAACACCGAGTCTAACCAATTTCTCAGATATAAACTGTTCAGTGTCTATAACTCTAAACCCTGAGTAATTCTCATCATTTCACAGCAGGATTACCATGGCAATTGAATTTATCCTATACACAGTAGCAAGAATCACTTTCATTGTGCCACTTCTTACTCCTAAAATGCTTTAAAATAGAGTATGTCATAAGTCATAAGGCATCCCACAACTGGTGCTGTCCCTTACTAATGTTATTTTCTCACAGACTAACAATGTTCTCCATCCCGGTCTACTCCTAACATCTTACTTGCCTTTTCATCTTCTCTAACAAATAATGCCCATTTTCTGTCCAAAATGGTCTCTCCTAGGCTTAGCTATTCACATCATGATTTAACAAATCTCTTTTTAAAACAATTTGGAGTACAGATTATCATAAACTAGGGAATACATTTTATACATATATTTAAGGACTAATCCTAAGAGAACTTTACCAGATAATTTAAATACCAGATAAAACTAAGTGTCCTTAGAGCAAGAACTGTGGTTTTTGCTTCTGTATTTCTCATGCCTATCCCAGTGTCTGGCATATAGCAAATAGTAAATAAATGTTTGCTGGATGAATAAATGAATATTGAGTATGAATTCTAGATAATACCAAAATAGTTTCATTCATCTGGGCATGGTGGCTCACGTCTGTAATTCCAGCACTTTGGGTGGCCAAGGCAGGCAGATCGCCTGAGGTCAGGAATTCAAGACCAGCCTGGACAGTATGGTGAAACCCCGTCTCTACTAAAAATACAAAAATAAGCTGGGTGTGGTGGCGCACGCCTGTAGTCCCAGCTACTAGGGAGGCTGAGACAGGAGAATCACTTGAATCCGGGAGGCAGAAGTTGCAGTGAGCCAAGGTTGCGCAACTGCACTCCAGCCTGGTGACACAGCGAGGCTTCATCTTAAAAAAAAAAAAAAAAACAAATAAAATAGTTTCATTCAAGGAAAGCATGGAAGTAGTCAAGTCAGAGCTATATGTAAGAGGAATATCTGCAAAGTATCGTATATGAAAGTAAACTATTACATGGAGATAATGCCACACAAAATTGCTAATACCCCATATATCTCAGGTCTGGCCACCATCTTAAAACTTTCTACCCCCAAATTTTAATTTCATCTACAAACAGAGTTTTGCTCAGATAAATAAATCACCAATTTGATAAATCAGGTTTATAAGCCACATACTATAATACAGTCATCCAGCAAATCTTTATTAATTACATATGACGGGGCCAAGCACTACATATATAAACATGAATGATTGTCTTCAGATACTTACAGCCTAGTAAGGGAAACAGTCAGGAAAACCAGCAATCACAATTAGGGCACAGATATTCATCAGGTACTATAGCAGTAGCAAAGGAGGGGCCCCTAACTCACCTTGGAGGTAGGAATTGGTTAGGAAAAACTTCCTATATTTAGCTGATTTCTGAAATGGAACTATAACTACAGGGAGATTAGGTAAGGGTATTTCAGACTGAAGCAAACAGAACGTATAAAGTTTGAAAGAGCACGGTCAGTTTGGAGTCATGCTGGCATGGCTGGAGTGTAAGCCACGGGAAATATCAAGAGTTGAGAGCGGGCAGGAGTTAAGATCACACACTGTCACACAGAGCTGACAGAGTTAATGGTGGTAAAGGAGAGAGGACAGAGCCAAAGTAAATAGCATGCTTTTAATCTGGTGACTGAATATGGTGACATCATTCACCAAGGAAGGGAATAATGATTTAACACATTTTTATTTGGCTTTGAGTAGGAAAACAATGAATTTAATTTCATGCAGTGAATTTGAGATGCCTTGAGTCATTCAGATGGGAATGCTTAGATAGTAGTACTACATACAAATTTTGTTTGAAGGAAGAGATCTGGAGTAGAAATATAATTTATGTGTCTAGAAGGTTTAACTTGTTTGTGTTGGTGCAGCAGTCCTGGAAATACCAGCACTCTATGGTCTCATTCCTTATATGTTTCTTCTATATGTTACGTACATGCATTTAATATATTTTTAAAATCAGGAGAATAGTCTCTTTTCCTAATTTGTAATTCTCTATAATACCTGTCCCTTAGTTCTTGTTACAGTGTGTATGCGGCAAAGTGCTAAGAGATAATCAATCGGCTAAATGGGGAAGAAAGGAGCGAAACTGCATAAACAGGAACACAGGAGACATGGAATATGTATTCTGACAAAAACCAATTTGAAAAATAAAAACAAAGGAATTCATATCGCTTACTCTGGTGTCTGATGTGTTCCATTTTGCAGAAATATCTAAATACTTTTTAAAAAATGCCGGCTTGGCATGGTGGCTCATGCCTGTAATCCTAGCACTTTGGAGGCCAAGTCGAGAGGCTCACTTGAGGTCAGGAGTTTGAGACCAGCCTGGCCAACATGGCGAAATGGTGAAACCTCATCTCTACCAAAAATACAAAAAAATTAGCTGGGTGTGGTGGTGGACACCTGTAATCCTGGCTACTAGGGAGACTGAGGCAGGAGAATCACTGTAACTTGGGAGGTGGAGGTTGCAGTGAGCCAAGATCACACCACTGCCCTCCAGCCTGGGCAACAGAGCTAGACTCCATCTCAAAAAAAAAAAAAAAAATGCTGACAACATACTGAATCAGTTACTGTACCCGAAGCTTAACGTGGCATGTAAAACCTTAGAGAAATGTTTACACAGCTGTCTATGCAAACAACAGAAATCTGAAGGCTTAAAAGACACTAATGTCAATTATACAAGAAATGTGAAGAAATATGATTACAGTTGTGAATTATGATTCTGTGGCAAAGCAACAGTACATAACACTACAAAAACATACAATTATGTGCTCCTGCCTAAAAAACTTTTCAACAGTTGAAGACCTTGCTTTAATACAGGAACATGAAGTCATCACTGCACAGGTGCTCTAGCTATAATAAAGGTTTGGCACAGGTGAAAAAGAATATTGCCAGGTAGGTGTGTACTTAGAGGAAACAGTAGGAGCTGAAGTTTAAGGTGGACAAAAGAGAGAAGTTTGGAAAGTAGCAGAGTAAGGAGTCTTAATTTTTAAATTTCTCACACCTAGCCTTCCTATTATGGATGTCTCTTTCTTAATGGTTAAATACAATGTTAAATATATTAAACTATTTTCTACCTGTTTCCATGCTGGGAGTTACTTGCTTTTGAAGAAGCAGGCAACTCTTGGAAATCACTGAATGAGTCATCAAGGGATCCTGACTTAGAAGCATCTTGAAAATCCTGGAAGTCGTCTTCTTCTGGCTTTACTACCTAGGTTTATAAAGGATATTTAAATAAATAGCACTGACTGACAAAATAAATACACAACAAATCTCCAACAGTCAAAGACTGCCCTTAAAATTTCTCAGTTTAGATACATTAACTCAAGTGCTTAAGGCAGGAATACTGTTTTGTATTTTTAGATACTCTCTGGTACAAATGGTAAAAAAACTGGTTTAAATAGCTAATCTAGGCTGAGCGCAGTGGCTCACGTCTGTAATCCCAGCGCTTTGGGAGGCCAAGGTGGGCAGATCTCCTGAGGTCAGAAGTTCGAGACCAGTCTGGCCAACATGGCGAAACCCCATCTCTACTAAAAATACAAAAATTAGCTGGGCATGGTGGCAAGTGTCTGTAGTCCCAGTTACATGGGTGGCTGAGGCAGGAGAATCGCTTGAACTCAGGAGGCAGAGGTTGCAGTGAGCTGAGATTGTGCCACTGTACTCCAGCCCAGCTGGGCAACAGAGCAAGACTTTGGCTGAAAAAAAAAAAAAAAAAAAGCTAATCTATACATTTTAAAAATAGCTGAATGACATTCATTGGGTTACTAAGTGCCTGCCATCTTTAAAAGACATATCTGGCTGGGTGTGGTGGTGGGCACCTGTAATCCCAGCTACTTGGCAGGCTGAGGCAGGAGAATGGCTTGAACCTGGGAGGCAGAGGTTACAGTGAGCCAAGATCACACCACTGCACTCCAGCCTGGGCAATATAGCAAGACTCTATCTCAAAAAAAATAAAAAAATTAAAAAGGTCAAAATGAAAAAAAAAAAAAAAAAAAAGACATATAGATATATCATGCATGTTTGCAAATTAAGTGACACAAGCTCATCATAACCAATCACATACATGTACAAAGAGTGGACACTGACTCCTAATCCCACACTCCAGAAGTATTGTTAACAGCTCATTTGTTTTAAAGAAAAATGCGATTACACTATATTGCTCTATACTCTAACTATATAACAAAGATACATTTCCATGCAGTACATGTAGCTCTATCTTACTCAGTTTAAAGATTACCACCACTGTGTGAATGAACTGAAATTAACCTTTCTCCTCCTGTTGGATATTTAGCTATTTCCACTTTTTACTCTAACAAACAATGTTACAACAAAAATTCTTACATATCTTTGCTAATTTGAGTAACTATTTCTTAGGATAGATTTCTAATAATGTGACTGCTAGGAGAGAAGATACAGATATGCTGAGGCATTTTTTTTGTTTTAAACTGAGTCTCCTTCTGTTGCCAAGCTGGAGTGCAATGGTGTGATCATAACCATAGCACACTGCAGACTTGAACCCCTGGGATCAAGTGATCCTCCCGCCTCAGCCTCTGGAGTAGCTGGTACTATACGTACACACCACCACGCCCAGCTTGACATGTAGAATTTTGATAACTATTGCCAAGCCTGCCTTTCAACAAGGCTGTACCAATAAGCCTAGAGTGTATTAGTCACTTTTACCCTACTTTTTCAATGACATTAAATATTATATACTTAAAACATTTTTGCTAATCTGAGAAGTGAAAAACTAAAGTATTTTAATTTCAGGTTTAGCAGTTTTTCTGAAAGATACAACCTAAGAATTTAAATGTGCTCCCTATAATCCAGTAACCTACTCTATGTATCCCTGGAAAAAATGGTGCCCAGATTCACTTTCAGTGATTATTTGAAATATGCACAGTTTCTTCATTTACCTGATTTGCAGGGAAGGTTGGTATAAAACCACTAGAAGCCTGGGCTGCAGCTCCACCCACTGGTCCAACAAGGTTAATACCCATGACTGGCTGTCCAAGGCTGAGGGGCATGGAGCCCGCAGGGCCTGAAGGTATCACGGTTGGCTGACTCACCGGCGCAGGCAGAGTCATAGAAAAACCACTTAAAGTTGGAATAGGAGCTGCTGGGAACTGGTTTAAAGCATCAGGACTCATTGCAGGAACGCCCCTCTACAAATGATAGAAAGAAAATGGATTAGGGGGTTGTAAACCACATACGGTCGAAATCTGGCAGAGACTGAAAGGTAAAAATCTGTAGCCTTTGCATGTTTCCACTCCTACTCTCAAAACTCATGAATTTGATTTAAGAAAAAAAGTTACAAGGTCAATGCAAACCTAATACTTAACAAAGAAATGGCCAACACATATCAGTTCTGACATTTTTACTTTCTGACACGTTTGGTTAATTCTATACGATCAAATCATTTTAAATGACTTTGCAATAAAAGAAAAATTTCTACCAGACTGAGAATACTTTATATCTATGAAATTTTAGAGAAAACTTCAAAAGACAGAGTAATTTCACCTATTACTGACTAACTTTCAAATTCAGAGAATGTTAATATATTAAAAGTCTTTAGGCCAGGCATGGTGGCTCACACCTGTAATCCCAGCACTTTGGGAGGCCGAGGCAGGTGGATCACTTGAGGTCAGGAGTTCGAGACCAGCCTGGCCAACATGGTGAAACCCCATCTCTACTAAAAATATAAAAATTAGTCAGGCATGGTGGCAGGTGCCTGTAATCCCAGCTACTTGGGAGGCTGAGGCAGGAGAATCACTTGAACCCGGGAGGTGGAAACTGCAGTAAGCTGAGATCGCACCACTGCACTCCAGCCTGGGCAATAGAGTGAGACTCAGTCTCAAAAACAAACCAAAACAAAAGGTCTTTAAACAAAGGAATAACTTGCTATTATGCACATCATATAAACTCTACATTTTTGAAGTACTATATCCTGAAAATGATCTAAATTTTAATGTACAAGGAGTTACACAATGTAGTAAAAAAGATTTCATATCCTTGCAATTTATACTAATAAAGTTATTTGATCTAACTTAAGAAACATGGTTTACCTGTGTTACCGCTATCATGGCTAGAACAGTATAAAGTTCTTCTTTTGTAAGTTTGCCAGGTGTAGTTCGATTAGCTAAGGCCCATATCTGTCCAAGAGTTTCCCTGGGAAGCCCAGATGACATCAGAATGGGATACAGTTTGGCAGTATCTATTCCGGTTGGAGTCATTGTGGTTTCTAAGATTTTCTTATAGGCATCTATTAAAGGAAATACCAGATTACAAATGGAAACACATTCCAAGTGATTCATTTTTTGGGGTGCCATTGTTGGTATACAAGAATAATCTTCAATCAAACTGCTTTAATAGAACCAAAGCCATGTCAGGGTTTAAACTGCTTTAAACATATTCCAGTGCGGCTGGGCATGGTGGCTCACGTCTATAATCTTTCAGCACTTGGGAGGCCAAGGCCAGCAGATCATCTGAGGTCAGGAGTTCGAGACCAGTCTGGCCAACATAGTGAAACCCCATCTCTACTAAAAATACAAAAATCAGCCAGACGTGGTGGCATGTGCCTGTAGGCCCAGCTACTCAGGAGGCTGAGGCAGGAGAATCGTTTGAACCCCGAGATAAAGGTTGCAGTGAGCCAAGATTGCAACTCTGCACTCTGCACTTCAGCCTGGGAAACAGTGAGACTCCGTTTCAGAAAAAAAGAAAAAAAAAATTGAGATATTCAAGAGGAAACGTACAGCAGACAATTAGAGTCTGGAGCTTGGTACTACAGATAAAGTTTAGGGCTAGAGGTAAGACAAAGTCTTATAATTCAGTAGAAGATTGTAACAAGACAGCATGCTTTAGATATTACAAGAGAAGCCGTAGAGTAATGATGGTGGGAACAGTTTGAAAAGAGCAACAGGAAGTAAGAATTATACCAACATTGAGGCTGTGAGAGAAAACACCATTGGAGAAGATGCTATGGAAATACAACCTTTAAGGAAAGACCCAGTTTCTGTTAGGGTGAGGAAGCAGAACAAGTGTCTTAAAAAGGGGGGTACGGTTGGTGAGTTTTTGATAATAACATGGGTTTTCCAAAGGACCAAGTGGGAAATGTTGTTAGAGATAGGGCTAAAATAAAGAATGCCAATATTGCATGGGACATACTTATACTAAAAAATTACTTGCTTTTTACCTGAAATTCAAATTTAACTGGGCATCCTGTATGGTTATTTACTAAATCTAGCAAGCTTAGTTAGGGAGATGAAAGTTAGTAGGGCTAAGGTGGACAGAGAAACTGTTTAAAATAAAAATTTTACATCTGGGATTATAAGTATGGATTACAGGTTAGTGGGCTCTCCATAAGAACACATATTTTTGGCCGGATGTGGTGGCTCATGCCTGTAATCCCAGCACTTTGGGATGCCGAGGTGGGCGAGTCACAAGGTCAGGAGTTCCAGACCAGCCTAGCCAATATGGTGAAATCCCATCTCTACTAAAAATAACAAAAAATTAGCCAGGCGTGGTGGTGTATACCTGTAGCCCCAGCTACTCGGGAGGCTGAGGCAGGAGAATTGCTTGAACCCGGGAGGCAGAGGTTGCAGTGAGTCAAGATCGCGCCACTGCACTCCAGCCTGGGTGACAGAGAGAGACTCCATCTCAAAAAAAAAAAAATACATGTTTTGACTAGAAAGTATATGTGCATGTATGTTTGGAAGGAAGAGGGAGAAAGTAATACAAACTGGCAGAAAATGGATAAAACTCCAAAATATAACAAGATCTAGATTTCGTTTGTTTGGACAGAGAAGAAGAAAAGATACAAACTGTCTAATAGGCATTTGGAAGAAAAGCCATTATTTTTATGTACAGTTGAATTGTACATACGATTTTGGTAACAATCAGCCTTTTGTCATTATGAGTAGTATCAGCAAATGCATTTGAATGAAAACTATAAAACATTAATGCAAGAAATTGAAGGGGACATAAAAAAGTAGAGAAATAGTCCATGTTCATGTTTTGGAAGAACCAATGTTGTTAAAATGTCCATACTACCCAAAGCAATGGGTAGTACAGATTCAATGCAATCCCTATCAATACCAATTACATTCTTCACAGAAACAGAAAACATAATCCTAAAAGTTATATGGTACCACAAAGGACCCAGAATAGCCAAAGCCATTCTGAGCAAAAAGAACAAAACTGGAGGAATTGCCGTACATTACTATATATTACCTGACTTCAAATTACACTACAAAGCTATAGTAACCAAAACAACATAGTAATAACATAAAAACAGACACAGAGACCAATGGAACAGAATAGAGAACCCAGAAATAAATCCACACATCCACAGTGAACTCATTTTTCAGAAAGGTGCCAAGAATATACATTGGGAAGGGTCTCTTCAATAAATGGTGCTGGAAAAACTGGATATCCATATGCAGAAGAATAAAACTAGACTCCATCCCACATCAAATACAAAACTCAAATCAAAATGAATTAAAGACTTTTAAATCTAAGACCAGAAACTATGAAACTACTAAAAGAAAACTTAGGGAAACTCTCCAGGACATTGATCTGGGCAAGATGTCTTGAGTAATAACCCAAAAATAATGGCAATCAAAGCAAAAATGGACAAATGGGATCATATCAAGTTAAAAAGCTTTTGCACTGCAAAGGAAACAATCAAAAAATGGACAACACACAGAACGGGAGAAAATATCTGTAAACTATCCGACAAGGGATTAATAACCAAAATATATAAGAAGCTCAAACAACTCAACAGAAAAAAAAGCTAACAATCTGATTTTAAAAATGGGCAAGACAACTCAACAGGCATTTCTCAAAAGACGACATGCAAATGGCAAACAGACTTATAAAAATGGGCTCAACATCATTGCTCATCAGAGAAATGTCAATCAAAACTACAATGAGACATCATCTCACCCCACTTAAAATGGCTTTTATCCAAAAGACAAGCAATAACGAATGCTGGTGAGGATGTGGAGAAAAGGGGACCCTCATACACTGTTGGTAGGAATGTAAATTAGTATAGCCACTATGGAGAACAGTATAAATATTTCTCCACAGTGGCTGTACTAATTTATAAGCCAAGATTCAAAAGCAATCTAAGTGTCCGTTGACAGACACTTTATCGAATGGATAAAGAAAATGTGGTACATATACACAATGGAGCAAAATTGAGCCATAAAATAATTGAGATCCTGTCATTTCCAACAACATGGTTGGAACTAGAGGACATTATATTAAGAGAAATAAGTCAAGCATAGAAAGACCAACTTCACATATTCTCATTCGTTTGTGGAAGCTAAACATTAAAACAACTAAACTCATGGAGACAGAATATAATGATGGTTTCCAGAGGCTGAGAAGGGTAGTGGGGAGGGGGGAATAATGGGGATGGTTAATAGGCATAAAAATATAGTTGGATAGGAGGAATAAGATCTAGAATTTGATAGCACTACAAGGTAGCTACAGTCAATAATAATTTGTGCAGCATACTCATTTGTGTCTAATCTTACTATCAGATGTTTAAAATTATTTTGAATACTTCATTAAAATAATTATTTTATTATAAGAAAACAATAATGAGTATAATTGGAACATTCATAACACAAAGAAGTAATACATGCTTGAGGTAATGGATACCCTATCTACCCTGATGTGATTATTACATATTGTATGTCTGTATCAAAATATCTCATGTACTCCATAAAAATATACACTTATGTAGCCATAAAAATTAAAAATAAATTTTTTTTTGTTTAAAGAAGAAAATGCACTTTAAGGATTCTCTTTTTTTTTTTCTTTTTGGCTCAGCAGTAAAAATATACGTAAAGAAAAAGTAGGCCGGGTGCAGTGGCTCACACTCGTAATCCCAGCACTTTGGGAGACCGAGGCAGGCAGATCACTTGAGCCCAGGAGTTTGAGACCAGCCTGAGCAACATGGTGAGACCCCGTCTCTACAAAAAAATACAAAAATTAGCTGGGCGTAGTGGCACGCACCTGTAGTCCCAGCTACTAGAGAGGCTGAGGTGGGAGGATTGAGCCTGGGGAGGTCAAGGCTGCAGTGAGCCAAGATTGTGTCACTGCACTCCAGCCTGGGTGACATAGTAAGACCTTGTCTCAAAAAAAAAAAAAAAAAGTAAACACTATCCTTCACATCTTCCAATGTGAAAAAAAAGATCCCACATGGTCTTTTATTTCATATAGTATTACATGACAAATAAGTCACAGAAATAATATTTTTAAAAATATAAACTAAGAATTCAGAAAATGACATTAAATATTTTAGTAAAATTCTTGATGTTATTAATCACTGAACTAAATATTTGATAATGTCTATTAAAGCATAATAAATCTAAAAGAGCTTTTAGAAATGGAAGTATGATGGCTGATAAAACACTAACACAAAACTATTCTCCTTCATTTATATAGTTATTCCATACATGAGGCAGTCTTATGAAACACGACATTTATTTAATTTCTGTACTCTTTCAGAAAAAAAGAAAAGTCACAATTCCTCCTGCATATTTTGTAACTACGACAGTAAATATTTACAACTACATTTACAATATTTATAGCAAAATATCCAGATGGGAATCCTGGGCTTTTTTACCTGGAACCAAACTCTCATTGTAAATCCAAGGAGGCATTCTGGGCTGAGCAGGATCCTGTGAGGGAAATACTCCCACACCTAGAAGATAAGAAACATCAATGTATACAGTGATCCATGGAGAAGATGGTGAAATCACACTGAGTCATGGTTTTTTATAAACAGCATTGGCTGGAGACACTAAAAAAAGTCACCAATACAATTAAAATATTTGGTCCCCCCGCCCCAGATTCAGAATAAAGTATTTGGTTTCTAAGCAACTCTTGTATGTTAACTATGTCCTAAAGAGTAAATTATACAAAATCTAAAATGTATCAATTCAATATTCTAAATCATATAAGCCTTGCACCATTTAACATGTATTACAAATTAAGGAAAAAAATGATAGATGATAGTTTAAAATTATGTATCTAAAAATATTTAATTGTCCCAGCTTTACTTGCAGTTTTTACTAGTGCTTCTTTGCAAAGTTTCATTCTTTTTTTTTTTTTTAATCTACATATGATACAGATGTTTTAAATATACAGGACTTTTGGGGGCTTTTTGTCCAGTGAAATATCCTCCCAAAAGTTTGCCTCCTAGGCTGCCCACATTCTAATTCATTTCTGAGGGCTGAATTTATAAAATTTAGATATTTTAGACAGTGGTGCATATGATTTATTGTAGACAAAGCAAGATTATATTCTCATTGGTGACTTTTCCAGTTACATTTTAACTTTTCAACCTTTATTGAAGAAGACAAAGTATAAGTGGAAAAAAAGAGTTTTTATAAAATAAAAGGAAAGAAAATTTTAAATCAGAAATTATTCCAATTAAGAAAACCAGTTATCAAAATCATTTTAAAAAACGAGTAACAGTGTGTTGAAAGAATTCAGAGCAAAATCTTAGGGGTTAATTGGAGAAAGGAATGCATTAAATATATTTCAAGCAAAATTTCGATTAGCAAAATCAAGCAGCATTCATTTGAAGATTAATGCTTAAGGTGTTAGCATTTGAGCAACGTTTGGTTAAACAAGTTTTTTGCTGAATGTTTCACGAGCTCACCACTCTCTTCAATTGACAGGTTTTGATCTGAAGTCTTTTCTGCCTCTGCAGTGGTGGTACCACTTACACATCCATCTACAGCACCCCCGTTACTGGCCGTTACACTGGGATGGCTCTTACTGGAACCTGGGCCTAGGGCTTTGTGGCCAACTTCAGAAGTATTTAATTTAATTTGTTCCTGCCCAGATGTACTTATATCACAAGATACTAGGAACTTCTCCTCCAAGGAAGGGCCTAAACAAACAGCATGAAGGATTATTTATATATAACTATATGTGTATATGTCTAATCTTTTCAATCATCCATCTCCACCCCCATATTCTTTTTTTTTTTTTTTTTTTGAGACAGAGTCTCACTTTGTCGCCCAGACTATAGTGTACTGGCACGATCTCAGCTCACTGCAACCTCTGCCTCCCAGGTTCAAGCGATTCTCCCGCCTCAGCCTACTGAGTAGCCAAGATTATAGGCGCCCATCACCAAGCCCAGCTAATTTTTGTATTTTTAGTAGAGACAGGGTTTCGTCATGTTGGCCAGGCTGGTCTCGAACTCCTGACCTCAGGTGACCTACCCACCTCAGCCTTCCAAAGTGCTGGGATTACAGACGTGAGCCACGGTGCCCAGCTCACCTCCATATTCTAAAGGGAGGCCCTGCCACATATAATGTAAACACTGTGGCTAGGCGCCGTGGCTCAAGCCTGCAATCCCAGCACTTTGGGAGGCCAAGGCAGGCAGATCACAAGGTCAGAAGTTCAAGACCAGCCTGACCAACATAGTGAAACTCCACCTCTACTAAAAATACAAAAAATTAGCCACGCATGGTGGCAGGTGCCTGTAATCTCAGCTACTCGGGAGGCTGAGGCAGGAGAATCACTTGAACCCAGGAGGCGGAGGTTGCAGTGAGCTGAGATCAAGCCACTGCACTCCAGCCTGGGCGATACTGCAAGACTCTGTCTCAAAAAATAAAAAAATGTAAACGTTGAAATAATTCAATTATTGCACATTTGTATAGAACTTGAGAGACTATTAGAGATTTTAGAGAATGTAAACATAATTATCTACTGTGATTCTAAAGAATTCTACGAGACAGTAGGTGGAAGAGTATAGTGGAAGAAGGAGCACTACCTTTGAAATCTGACAACCTACATAAGATAACACTTTCACTAACTCCTAGGGAGGCCTCTGGCCAGTGACATCATCATCACCTCTTGGTCTGTTTTCACATCCATCAAATGAGAAAGTCTGGACTGAGTACATGTCTGCCAAGATCCCTCTCAGCACCCTGTCTCAAGCCAGGATGTGTAGCTGTCTCTATTCATTTTACAGATGACAAAATCTAAGGCACATCAAGGACAAACTGATAGTAAATGAACAACCCGGGCTTCTGCCCCCAAGTGCCCTGTCACTGAAGCTGAAAGAGTACTTTCTAAAGAAGCCTTTCCTAGCTCCTTATTCTTAAGAAAATGATATTGGTGAATCTCCCAAACAACAATCTTCCAGAAAAATCAGAAGATTTATTTTAAAGTTATAAGGCAGTTTAAAGTGCTCCTACTTGAGGAGCAAAACTTTTAAATCACCTTTCCGGAATGTGAAGACCCCAGAACTTAAAAATCTAGAACACTTGTTTGTTGAATTTCAACAGCAGTCATACATTCATGTACATGTTTATTTGCCAACATCACTGGATTATTCTACTTATATAACAAAAATAAGTTATCCCAGGATATCTTAAGAATACTTTCATTAATAATGCTAAGAGTTACCTGCTTTTGGTACACTGTGTGAGGCTGAAGCAGTAGAGAAGTAAGGAATTTGCCCAGGGACACCATGTAAGGCAAAAGGCACTGGACTCTGACCTGGAGGGAGAGGCTGTGTCCCAGCCTTCTGTGTATGCAACTGGACAAGTGGGGTGGAGGGGTGGAAAGACTGAAAGGGCTGGGATGTGGAAGAAGGCCCACATGGGGGAACTTCAACAGGTCCCTGCATAAAGTCACTGAATTCTTCTTCATCAAGAAAGGCAGGTGATGGGGAGACAGTTTTAGTAGAATGAGATGATGTGGGGCAATCTGCAAAATGGAAAATGGCAATGAAACACACAAAAATGGAAACCAACAGAGAAAAAGGAATTAAGATGTAGTACAATTGCAAAAGAATATATTGAAACATAAATAGGGAGGTGAACAAGAAATAACAAGTAACAATAGTCAAATGGAATTATATGATGCATGTAAAACACTTTGATGTCTATTTATACACAATTTTATGTCTTTCTAAAGGGGAATTTTAATAGCTATTTTGCATTTGGTTCAAAAAAGGCAAAACTAAAAATGTATGTATCTATTGATTTATTTTAGAGACAGGACCTAGGCCAGAGTGCTGTGGCATGCTCACAGCTCATAATCATAGCAGCCTCAAACTCCTGGGCTCAACCAATCCTCCAGCCTCAGTCTCCTGAGTAGCTAGGAATATAGGTACATGCCAGCATACCCAGCTAATTCTTCCTTTCTTTTTTTTTTCATAGAGATGGTGTCTCACTATGTTGCCCACGCTGGTCTCGAGCTCCTGGCCTTGACAGTCTTTCTTTCTTTCATTAGATTAATAATTTTTCCCCTGAGACCATTGATGCTTTACATCAAAGTGATGATTATTTTTGAAGTCAAAATGATCTGTTTATCTAGATAATATTATCTCAAACCAATACACATCAGATGTAAGAAAACCTACCTATATAGTGCTGAATACATTTTGGACAGATATATACCATGATGACTAAATTTCATTATTTATTAAGAAATTCAGTAAGAAATAATACACAATACAAACTTGTAATTTTTGAAATATCATGCTTGATCCACACACTTGCATAGATCATATTTCAGTAAAGTTACCATACGAGGAATAAAAATTACAAAAGAACTTGTTTTTTTTTTTTGAGATAGAATCTCTCTGTGATGCCCAGGCTAGAGTGCAATGGCATGAGCTCAGCTCACTGCAACCTCTGCTTTGTTCCCCAGGTTCAAGAGATTTTTCTGCCTCAACCTCTTGAGTAGCTGGGACTACAGGTACGCACCACCATGCCCAGTTAATTTTTGTATTTGTGTGTGTGTGTGTGTGTGTGTGTGAGAGAGATGGAATCTTGCTCTGTCACCCAGACTGTTGCTCTGTCGCCCAGACTGGAGTGCAATGGTGTGATCTTGGCTCACGACAACTCCGCCTCCTGGGTTCAAGCAATTCTTCTGCCTCAGCCTCCCAAGTAGCAACCACCATGCCCAGCTAATTTTTGTATTTTCAGTAGAGATGGGGTTTCACCATATTGGCCAGGCTGGTCTCGAACTCCTGACCTTGTGATCTGCCCGCCTCCACCGCCCAAAGTGCTGGGATTACAGGTGTGAGCCACCGCACCCAGCCCAATTTTTGTATTTTTAGTAGAGACAGGGATTTCACCGTACTGGTCAGGCTGGTCTTGAACTCCTGACCTAAGGTGATCCACCCACCTTGGCCTCCCAAAGCACTGGGATTACAGGCTGAGCCACCATGCCTGGCCAAGACAAGAATATTAAACACATTATTAAGGTGATATTTTCTTGTGAAAAGCATCAACATTAGGATATATAAAGTGCTGAATCAAACAATAACAGTCAATTTAAGAAAGTAAACCCTGCCTGAAGACTACGACTACCTTTAAAAGATTTTTGGCACTAAAGGATACAAATGTCACTGTGGCTTTTTATTATTAAATGTAAAATTCACTTACGTAATGAACCTGCTCGACTGGGGCTACATTTAACATAAAACTCTTTAACAATACTATTTTATTGTTGCATCTTTACATGTATTATTGTTACTACTACTATTATTATTATTGAGACTGGGTCTCCCTCTGTCAACCAGGCTAGAGTACAGTGGCATGATCTCAGCTCACTGCAACCTCTGCCTCCCAGGTTCAAGCCATTCTGGTGCCTCAGCCTCGCAAGTAGCTGGAACTACAGGCGCCCACCACCACGCCCGGCTAATTTTTGTATTTTTAGTAGAGACAGGGTTTCACCATATTGGCCAGGCTGGTCTCGAACTCCTGAATTCACATGATCTGCCCGCCTTGGTCTCCCAAAGTTTTGGGATTACAGATGTGAGCCACCACGTCTCACCTTCTTTGTTTTGTTTTTGTTTTTGTTTTTCTGAGATGGAGTCTAGCTCTGTCACCCAGGCTGCAGTGCAGTGGCGCAATCTCAGCTCACTGCAGCCTCTGCCTCCCAGGTTCAAGCAATTCTTCTGCCTCAGCCTCCCAAGTAGCTGGATTACAGGTGTGCACCACCACGCCTGGCCCCACATTTTTTTTTTTTTTTTTTTTTTTTTTGAGACAGAGTCTCGCTCTGTTGCCCAGGCTGGAGTGCAACGGCGTGATCTCCGCTCACAGCAACCTCCACCTCCTGGGTTCAAGAGATTCTCCTGCCTCAGCCTCCTGAATAGCTGGGATTACAGGCATATGCCACCACACCTGGCTCATTTTGTATTTTTAGTAGAGATGGAGTTTCTCCAGACTGGTCAGGCTGGTCTCGAACTCCTGACCTCAGGTGATCTGTCCACCTCGGCCTCCCAAAGTGCTGGGATTACAGGTGTGAGCCACTGCGCCCAGCCTCCCCACATTTTAAATTACTTTGAATTGCTTTAATATGACTAAAGTCTATTGTCACAATAAGTAGTCTTTTTTTCTTCACTGACTTGAAGCTTAGGAGTAGTCTTTTTTTTTTAAGAAATGGCTCTCATTTGAAAAATGGAGACCCTGCATACTTCTTTCCTCTCTCTAGGATCAATGAAATAAAACCTGGATGCACTGAAAGTTCTAAGAAGATGCAAAATATGCAAAATTATTGCCTTAATTAAGTTTGTTTTAAAAAGAAAAAGCCCTCCTACATTATATTCCAAGCCTCCCAACAATTAGGTTCTCAATTTGGGTTCCCAGCTACTTAAAATATTTTTTAAAGGGACCCTGACTATTTACTTGGAATATACTATAATGACCAAACCAATGTTTCTTTGCATTTGGCTAGAATGTGTGAGTTCTATGTGGAATATATTTTGGCCCATACCAACTCTAGCAGCTAATGTGTATGATTAAAAAGAAGTATAAAAGTTATATGATGGGCCAGGCACAGTTGCTCACACCTGTAATCCTAGCACTTTGGAAAGCTAAAGCAGGTGGACTGCTTGAGCCCAGGAGTTTGAGACCAGCCTGGGCAACATGGTGAAATCTCGTCTCTACAAAAAATACAAAAATTAGGTGTGGTGGTACGCATCTGTGGTCCCAGTTACTCGTGAGGTTGAAGTGGGAGGACTGTCTGAGCCTGGGAAGTCATGGCTGCAGTGAGCTGTGATCATGTCCCTGCACTCTAGCCTGGGCAACAGAGTGAGACCCTGTCTCAAAAAAAAAAATTTTATATGATCAATATAGTTTGTATATTCAGTATTCAGTATTTTAGATAAACAATCTATAAAGAGAAATTTAAAAGGTACCTTTGGTGGTAGAATGGCTGGACACTCTTTTTATAAATACTTTACGACTAGGTTTTTGTTTTTTTGTTTTTTTCAGATGGAGTCTCACTCTGTCGTCCAGGCTGGAGTGCAGTGGCGCAGTCTTGACTCACTGCAGCCTCTATCTCCCAGGTTCAAGCTATTCTCCTGCCTCAGCCTACCAAGTGACTGGGATTATAGGCATGTGCCACCATGCCCAATTAATTTTTTGTATTTTTAGTAGAGATGGGGTTTCACCATGTTGGCCAGGCTGGTCTTGAACTCCTGACTGCCTTTCTCTCCTTTTCCTAACCTCCAGCCTAGGTCCAGTTTTAGTATTAACTTCCAATATATATTCTTGAATTACTCCTTGACTAGCTTATTCAACTTATAATTTTCACTTTTAGGTATATTTTTCCTTTCTAATCTCAGCCTGATTGCTAATATCTGTTTTCTTGTCAATCTTGTATATTTTATTTTGGGGCATACTTTTGGAATGGGAATCTTAAGTGAAATTAACAGAACAGAGTAAAAGTTGTCCCGGAAAATCAAGAACTGGTTACTATGCCTGTGATTATTCCTTCTTGATATCAACCATGAAAGGTACTATAATACAAGAGTTAAAATTTATCAATGTAACATTTTCCAGCAGAAGGTAGTAGTTTCTCAGCTGCCTAAATGATTTATGAAAACTGTTCACCTATTAGGTACGTTTTCTTGAAATCAGCTGATAAAATGTTAAAACTTTGAATTTTTGCAATGGAGTCTTGCTCTGACGCCCAAGCTGGAGTGGGAAGTGGCATGATTTCGGCTCATTGTAACCTCCGCCTCCCGGGTTCAAGTGATTCTCCTGCCTCAGCTTCCCGAGTAGCTAGGAATACAGGCACGCACCACCATGCCCAGCTAATTTTTTTTTTTTTTTTTTTGAGACGGAGTCTCACTCTGTCGCCCAGGCTGGAGTGCAGTGGCCGGATCTCAGCTCACTGCAAGCTCCGCCTCCCAGGTTTACGCCATTCTCCTGCCTCAGCCTCCCGAGTAGCTGGGACTACAGGCACCCGCCACCTCGCCCGGCTAGTTTTTTGTATTTTTTAGTAGAGATGGGGTTTCACCATGTTAGCCAGGATGGTCTCGATCTCCTGACCTCGTGATCCGCCCGTCTCGGCCTCCCAAAGTGCTGGGATTACAGGCTTGAGCCACCGTGCCTGGCCTATTTTTGTATTTTTAGTAGAGACAGGGTTTCACCATGTTGGCCAGGCTGGTCTTAAACTCCTGACCTCAAGTGATCCCACCCGCCTCAGTCTCCCAAAGTGCTGGGATTACACGCATGAGCCACAGCGCCCGACTTGAAATGTTGAATTTTTAAAAACAATGTGGTAACAATTATGCAAATACAAGACTCATTTGAACTGCCAAATGTTCAAAAGAACAACCAAACGCCACCCCCCAATCCCTTTACCCTGCTTTCTGAAACAGGTACATTTCTTTTTGCTTACCTGACAATAAATGATGATAAAAATTACAAAGAAATGCATTAGAGAAACTAACATTTCAAGAAGAGCATTATTACACCCAAGATTTTTAGAAACGAGTCATTTTAAGAATTTATAAGTTTAATCACATTAAGTAATGAAATCAGAACTAGTTCATAAAATTACTATAAAACAATGAGAATTAAACGGTAAACTCATTTATTACATTTGCTCTGATTGAATAGATTTTACTAATGTTAATATATTTATATACAGAAAACTTACAGGTGAAATTGTCGTACTGATATTTAATTAGAAGACAGGTTTTTTTCCCTCCCAAGACAGTTGTTATCCAGACTACAGCTCTTAAGCCACTGCACATTTCAGAACATCCAAATCTGTACTTAGCTTGAAGGAAGAGTTCTGCATTGACTTTTCACACACACATATAATGGCGAGGTAAAGAAACAGGGACTACGTAAATCACCTTCCAAGAAAAGAAAAATGTAATGCCTCTTAAAACTACCTGGTTTCTTGGGGTGCGATGCTGGAGTAGGGTGCATTTTTGCATCTCTGGAAAACCCATCTAAATTTCCTTTTATGGCTTCCAAAGCATCATCTCTACTCTTCTCTCCTGTCTAAGAAACAACAAATATATGTATATTTCTTTACTTATCCCTCACTCTATCCTAAATCCTCCCAAATTAAGAAAAGCACAGATACTCATCTACTTCCAATATTTTTACCACATACTTCTGATGATGAATTCTCCAAGTCAGAAAAACAGGTAAATGACTAAACAATGACACTCTACAGAAAATAAAAACATTACAAGGCCAATATATAAATACTTCAGGATAGACCTGTTTGATATTAAGTGTCCCGTGAAGGCTCTAAGAGAAATATGAAATATTTCTGAATTCAGGATTACTGCTTTCCAAGAAAAAGATTACAAATATTGCCATGATACTAAAAAAGAGTTGAGAAGATAATGGCTGATACCCTATTCTCATCAATAACAGTGTATCTTCACAGAAAATGAAAAATCCTTCACATTAGGAATTAGATAAACCGAAATGAGAAGAGTCAATCACAGCCCCAGCTTGGGCTGGTGCCCCAGTGATGACATCCACACAATGAGTGGGAAGAGGCACATTCAGGGTGTGTATGTTCTGGGTGAAGAGAAGTATTGAAGTATTACCTTGGGTTTCACACTGCTCAAAAGTCTGAGCTTTTGCTTCTGCTCTTCAAACTGGCGTCTTTTTCTTTCTTCTTCTAAGAGTTTTTGCTGCTGTTCAAATCGTTTCCTGAAGGAAAAATGACCTAATAAAAAACAAGCTCCCAGGATTATACACTGTTTTATATTCAGATTTCTAACAGTTTCAGCAATATCATGTTGCACTTCTAGAAGTGTAAATTTCATTGCTAAATATCTAGTTTTCTTATGACAATCCTGTTTCCTCACTACATTAATTCCAAAATATTTGACATGAGTCTAAATAATGATTTACCTAAATTATGAATATGAATTTATTTCTCATCTAATTTGCAAGAGGAGGAAACAAGCTTTTGCATACAAAAGTGTTCTCACAAAACAGGCAGACAAACGTAAGAACACACTTTGCTCTGCATATTAAACAAGAACCTGCTTGGGAAGGCAGTGTCATACAGGAGAAAGAGTAATGATCTGGGAAGCAGGAGGCCTAACTTTGGGTTCAGGCTTTGCTGGTAACTGTGTTACCTGGACTGACAAGTTGTTTCATTTTCCTGGACTTCACTTTCACTAGATATAAAACAACAGGGTTGAATTAGAGGATCTCTAAGGTCCTTTTTGACTCTAAACTTGTAATAATGGTATTTTAAAGAGGCTTTTTTGTTTTTGTTTTTAAATAGGGTCTCACTCTGTTACCCAAGCTGGAGTACAGTGGCATGATCACGGCTGACTGCAGCCTCAATCTCGGGGCCCAGGTGATCCTCCCACCTCAGCCTCCTGAGCAGCTGGGACTACAGGCATGAGCCACCAAGCCTAGCTAATATTTTGTATTTTTTGTAGAGACAGGGTTTCACCATGTTGCTCAGGCTAGCCTTGAACTCCTGGGTTCAAGCAATCTGCCCGCCTCAGTCTCCCAAAGTGCTGGGATTATAGGCATGAGCCACTGGGCCAGGCCTTAAGAGTTTTTTTTTTTTTTTTTTGGAGACAGAGTCTTGCTCTGTCGCCCAGGCTGGGGTGCAGTGGCTCATCTCGGCTCACTACAAGCTCCAGCTCCCGGGTTCAAGCCATTCTCCTGCCTCAGTCTCCCGAGTAGCTGGGACTATAGGCGCCCACCACCACGCCCGGCTAATTTTTTGTATTTTTTAGTAGAGACGGGGTTTCACTGTGTTAGCCAGGATGGTCTCAACCTCCTGACCTCGTGATCTGCCCACTTTGGCCTCCCAAAATGCTGGGATTACAGGCATGAGCCACCACGCCCGGCCAAGAGTTTTAAAGACAACTTTTGACTGTTTTAGTTTCAAATCTTCACTAGAGATTATTAGACAATTCTAAAGATAGATGCTATAATGTATCTTTGTTATCCTTTAATTTTGGTGATCTCTTACTGCTGCTCTTCGGCAAACTGCTTCTGCATGTCTGGAGTGTACTGTGGGCCTGGAGGACGCATGCCCAGGAAGGGTGCTTGTCCTAGGTAAGGCATTCCCGCTGCTGGCATTGGTCCCATTGGTATTCCTGCCTAGAAGAAACAGACAAAGGCTTAGAAAACACAATTTCTCCCTTTAATTATCACACACAAAAATGTGACTTTCAAAAATTCTATCTTAATATTTTTATTTGTAAAAAATGGAAATATATTGTATTAAAAGATGCAGAGATGCAAATAAGATGCAAATATGCAAATAAACATATTATATTAAAAGATGCTAAAAATGGAAGGCTCCCCTTAATATCTAGCCCTCCATTCCCTTCACTGTCCCAGAGGTGACTGCTGCTAATAGTCTGATTGGTGTGTGAGTATGGAAGTATATGTACATTCTTGTGAGCTCACTAATTCTCTTTGAGAAGAGGCATTATATCTTATATATTTTCATATTTGCAATAATAGGTAAGAGGCTGGCATATGGTAAACATACCACAAATGAAATTAAATCTGATTTTCCAATATATATGAGAGGATAATGAATATTTTGATGTTATCAAAGGCCTAATAGTCAAACTTTTATAGAAAATGAAAGAAACATATTCAATAATAATGACATAATACAATATTATAGAGTTTATTAAAGTGTCCAGAAATAAGAATAACATAACAGCTAATCACAAAATTTAATAATATTATGTTTTTAGAGACACGGTCTCGTTGTGTCACCCAGGCTGGAGTGCAATGGTGTAATCACAGCTCACAGCAGCCTCCAACTCTTGAGCTCAAGAGATCCTCCCACCTCAGCTCCAGAGTAGCTAGGACTACAGGCGTGTGCCATCGCACCTGGTTCGAAATCTAATATTAAGAGTGATGACAATGATAATAGTTAAATGGCTAATTTTTAGTGAGTGAAAACTTCTACTACTCAACCTTCTCCCTGAAAAGTTCCCCTTCTGTCCCTAACTAAAGTCTGTCCGTGAAACACTCTCATTTTGGAGACTGCTACTTTTCTATTTCCTGTAAGTGGGGAATATTCTTCCTTGCTTCTTCTAAACCTTTTCTCCTCTCTCTACCTTCAAAAACCTGAATACATTTTAATTTCTCACTAATAGACTTCATCATTTACTCTCCGATCTTGTTCACGTCATCTACTGACCCTCAACTTCCTCACTCTTCAGTTGTACACTTCAGACTTTGCTATCTTCCATTCTATCTCCCAGCTGCTCTTGGTAACGTCAACAATCACCAACACGGATCACTCACCTAACACTGTGGTCTTCTAGGTCTTTAGCCTCCTCATCACAATCATGCCCAACATACAATTCCAGCTTCCCATTCCATGGTAATACCAGTGATCTATCTGCACCAAAGACTGTGTCATGCCCAAAATCTGGATGTTAGGCATCCTGACACTTGACCACCACTTCTGATCCTTCTAGCTCATCTAGACCAGTAATTCGCCTATCTCGTTAATATCTCCCACCTGTTAATTTATTATTTTTTCCCTGGGCTTATTTTGTAGGTTCCACCTGTTAATTTGCCACGTTTCTCATGATTAATCATCTTCATTATATCCTCACTTCCCTTCCTGCTCAATTTAGATTCTAGGGTTCAATATTAAATGCCCTTGTCAATATCCTTAATGCCCTTAATTGTCAATTCCTTAACATGGTCTCCTGGTAAACTTCACCCCTGATTAGAATCAACTAATCAACTTCTCCATGCTTATACAAAAACCACTGAACCATGCCGGAGAGAAAAACATTGAGGATTCACATTAAATTCTATTTATTTATTTATTTAGAGACAGGGTCTCACTCTGTCACCCAAGTTGGGATGCAGTAGTGCGATCTCAGCTCACTGCAACCTCCACCTCCCAGGCTAAAGTGATTCTCCCACCTCAGCCTCCCAAGTAGCTAAGACTACAGGCATGTGCCACCACGCCGAGCTAATTTTTGTATTTTCAGTACAGATGGGGTTTCACTAGGTTGGCTAGGCTGGTCTCGAACTCCTGACCTCAAGTGATCCACCCACCTTGGCCTCCCAAAGGGCTGGAATTACAGGCATGAGCCATGATGCCCGGCCAGCTTGGAATGCTTTTGAAGGGTTTCTAGCACTCTACAACTGGAGTTACACACAATATTGCTTTATTGCTAACATTCTCTATTCTAAATCTTGGGTGGAGATAGCCGTGTATACTTATTTTAAATCACAGTATTGCTCTCTTGCTGCTAAAAATTAGGATCACAGTCCTAGAATTAAATTTTTCTGTTTTTTTACTCAGTTCACCCAAAGTATATAAAATACAAAAGAAACTACCCAAATCAGAGATGAAAAATAAGGCAAAGTGTTCAACAAAAATAACAAAGAATGAAAGAAAGAAACGTGTCATGCATATTGCCTTCTTACTTACAAACTCCTCTCTTGAAGAACATTCAAATTTACTAAACGGCATTTTGTGTTTCCCCTACACCTGGAAAGGAGGGACTGTCTAAGTTTTTATAGACTTTTGAAATCTAAATAAACTAAAAGATTAAGAGATACTAGTCTTTAATTACATACTGAATGGATGACATAACAAAAGAAAGAACTCAGAAATCTGAGATACATTTGATAAACTACTGATGGCACTTAAGATTTCAATAAGTTGAGAAGCATAGCATGACAGTTAAGACTAAAAGAGTAAAAGTGTCCATTTCAGTTAGAACCCCAACAGTTTTGTTTTGACAAGTTGATCTTAAAATTATACTGAAGGGCAAAGGACCATGAATCAGTTATAATTCTGTAAAAGAAGGAGGATGATCCATACTACCACATATCAATGCTTATCTCAGGCTAGATAATTAAGGCATAAGATATTTACTGACGCAAGGAAAGACAGATGCAGCAATGAGACAAATACATGAGCCTAGAAATTAATCCAAAGCACATAAAGAAGTGTAATATTACAGGAATAATCACAGAAATCAATAAATAAAAAACAGGCTATTTATAAATGATTTGGGAACAACTGACTACAATGGAACATAATAAAATTACATCCTTCTACCTCACGCTGATTCTAAAGAACAATTCTAGGTAGGTTAGAGACTTAATCTGAAAAGGCAGGCTGGGCGCATTGGCTCACACCCTGTAATCCCAGCACTTTGGGAGGCTGAGGCAGGCAGATCACTTGAGGCCAGGAGTTCCAGACCAGCCTGGACAACATGGTAAAATCCCATCTCTACTAAAAATACAAAATTAGTCAGGCGTGGTGGTGCATGCCTGTAGTTGCAGTCACTCTAGAGGCTAAGGCAGGTGAATTGCTTGAGCCCAGGAAGCAGCAGCTGCAGTGAGCCGAGATTACGCCACACTCCAGCCTGGGCGACAGGGCGAGACTCTGTCTCAAAAAAAGAAGACAAGAAAGACAAGAAACTTAACTTTTTTAAAATAAGACGACACAGGTAGGGAAGAATGTCTTAGATAAGACAGAAAAAAAAAATGATTTATCCATCTGACTTAATTTCTACACAACAAGACACTATAAACAAAATTAAGAGAGGCCAACGACTAGGAGAAGATACTGGCAACACATGTAACTACAAAGGATTAGAATCCAGAATATATAATGAACACTCAGAAATCAATGAGATCAAAACAGCAAAACATTAGAAGCAATTTAAATGTCTGTTAATAGAACAACATATATTCACTCAATGAAATACCACACAGCAGCTACTATGAATGAACTTGGCATAATTTTACAACAGGGATAAGTCTTGGGGGCAAACAATGTTAAATTAAAAAGTTAAGATGTTGAAGGGTACATACGTAAAATTTAAAACCTAGAAAATATTATATATTGCTCGTAAGTATACAAATATATAAAATAATAAAAGTATAAAATTATGGCCAGGCACAGTGGCTCATGCCTGTAATCCCAGCACTTTGGGAGGTAGAGGTGGGTAGATTGCTTGAGGTCAGGAGTTTGAGACCAGTCTGGCCAACATGGTGAAACCCCATCTCTACTAAAATACAGAAACTAGCCAGGCGAGGTGGTGGGCACCTGTAATCCCTGGTACTAGGGATGCTGAGGCAGGAGAATTGCTTGAACACAGGAGGTGGAGGTTGCAGTGAGTCGAGATCACGCCACTGCACTCCAGCCTGGGTGACAAAGTAGTATAAAAATATATACGAGAACCATAAACACTGAATTCATGATAGTGATAACAACCTCTGGGGAAGGAGAGGAAGGAAAGTATTTTTGAATTCTTTAAAAAAATGTAAAGCAAATGTGGCATGTTAAAATTTGATAAAGGTAGGACCTGACTACCTATATAAAAAATCCCAAGGGAATCCACAAAAAAATTCCCAGAGCTAATAAAATGAGTTCAGTAAGGTTGAAGGATATAAAACAAACATATACAATCAACTGTATTTCTATACACTACCAATGAATATGTGAACATTGACATTAAAAAACGCCATTCATAATTCCTCAAAAAACCAAAATATTTAGATGTAAATCTAACCAAACACGGATGTGATTTTTATGCTGAAAACTATATAAATGCTGATAGAAGAAACCAAAGATCTAAACAAATGAAGAGACATCCCATACTGTTATGATGGAAGACGTCAATTCTCAAAGACATCAATTCTCCCTAAATTCATACAGAGGTTTAATACAATGCCTATCAAAACTCCAGCAAGAGTTTTTCCAGAGATAGACAAGATTATCCCAAAATTAATATGGAAAGACAGAGAAACCAGAATAGTTAAATTCTGGAAAGAAGAATAACGTAGGAGGACTCAACCTTATCATATAGCTACCATCACAAAGACTGTGTTATCGGTGAAGGAACAGGCATATACATAAAACAACAGCACAGAACAGAGAACCTAGAGAAAGATACATACAAGCATGCCCAACTGATTTTTGACAAAAATGTGAAAGCATTTCAATGGAAGCAGAATAGCTTTTTCCACAAATGTTGCTGGGGCAGACTTACATAGATACAAAGAGAGAGATAAAAAACAACCTCAATCTAAGTCTTAGATCTTATACAAAAATTAACTCAAAATGGATCATGGACTTAAATGAAAACCAAAAACTTTTAGAAAAAAACATAGGAGAAAATCTCCAGAATCTAGGGGAAGGCAACGAACTCTTAGAGTTATACCAATGCATGATCCATAACAGGAAAAACTGGTAAATTGAATTTCATCAAAATTGAATTTTTGTTCTGTGAAAGACCCCATTAAGAGGGTGAAAAGACAAGCTAAAGACAAGAAGAAAACACTAGTAAACCACATATCTGACAAAGGACTAGTACCTAAAAGATATAAAGAACTCTCAAAATTCAATAGTAAAATACCAAAAAATGCAATTAGAAAATGGTCAGAAGCTATGAAAAGACATTTCTCTGAAGAAAATGTAATGATGGTAAATAAACACATGAAAAGATGTTCAACATCATCTGCACATTAAAACCATGCAAATTAAAACCATGAGATATTAAACATACCTGTCAGAATGGCTAAACAAAAAATAATGACACTAAATGCAGGTAAGGATGCAGTATAACTGAACCTCTGATACACTGCTGGTAGGAATGTAAAATATTACAGCTACTCTGGAAAAAAGTTTGGCAGCATCTTAAAAAACCAAAAATGCAATACATGCAACCTAGCAATTGTACTCTTGGGCATTTATCCCAAGAAATGAGGTATGTTCACGCAAAAACCTTTATTTGTAATAGTCAAAAACTGTAAACAACCCTGATGTCCTTCAGTGAGCAAACGGTTAAACAGTCATACATCCAAACCATGAACTATTACTCATCAATTTTAAAAAAATGAACTACTGATACATGCAACAACTTGGATGAATCTGAAGGGATTATGCTAAGCGACAAACGCCAAATCCAAAAGGTTAATGATTCAATTTATATAACATTTTTGAAACTACAAAATTATAGAAATGGGGAACACACTAGCGAATGCAAAAGGGGTAAGGTGGGGCAGGAAGGAAGTGAGTACAGCTACAAAAGGGCAACGTGAGGAGATCCCTGGGGAGATGGAAATGTTCTGTATCTCAGCTGTGCCAATGTCCATACGCTGATTGTGTTACTATAGTTCTACAAGTTTTACCAATAGGGGAACTGGGCAAAGGATTTCTATTATTTCTTAGAATTACACAACAGTTTGCAACAGGTTTACACATGTCCATCATGTGCTCTACACTTGCCTAGATGTTTGAAATGCTTCAGAATAATAATTTTAAAATGTATTGTACATCATGAGGAGGGTTTTCTTTTTATGTTTTTTGAGGAAGCGAGATATTATAATAATCAATAATAATATAATAATCATCAAGACTAAATTTCTGGCCAGCACAATGGCTCACGCCTGTAATCCCAGCACTTTGGGAGGCCAAAGTGGGTGGATCACTTGAGGTCAAGAGTTCAAGACCAGCCTGGCCAACACTACAAAATCCTGTCTCTACTAAAAATACAAAAATTAGTCGGATGTGGTGGCGTGCGCCTGTAATCCCAGCTGCTTGGGAAGCTGAGGCAGGAGAATCGCTTGAACCCAGGAGGCAGAGGTTGCAGTGAGCTGAGATTGCACCACTGCACTCCAGCCTGAGCAACAGAGCCAGACACACTCACAAAAAAAAAAAAAAAAGAGAGACTAAATTTCTATGTTGACTTTTATCTGAATCATCACTTTTATCTCCAAAGACTTAAGAGATTAAAGAGATAACTAAAGGACCAATGGGTTTGCTTCATATATGTCCCTGATTGGTTAAGGCTACTGAGTTTCGGCCAGGGGGTGGCAAATAAAATCTGGGTGTTTTTCGCCCTAAAAAATGGTGAGCAAGCCAGGCACGACGGCTCATGCCTGTAATCCCAGCACTTTGGGAGGCTGAGGCGGGTAGATCACGAGGTCAGGAGATTGGGACCATCCTGGCTAACACAGTGAAACCCCATCTCTACTAAAAATACAAAAACAAAATTAGCCAGGCGTGGTGGTGGGAGCCTGTAGTCCCAGCTACTCGGGAGACTGAGGCAGGAGAACAGCGTGAACCTGGGAAGCAGAGCTTGCAGTGAGCCGAGATTGCGCCACTGCACTCCAGCCTGGGCGACAGAGCAAGACTCTAAAAAAAAAAAATGGTGAGCAGCAACTGGGTGTGGTGGCTCACACCTTTAATACCAGCACTCTGGGAGGCCGCGGCAGATGGATCACCGGAGGTCAGGGGTTTGAAACCAGCCTGGCCAACGTGGCGAAACCCTGACTCTACTAAAAATACAAAATTAGCTGGGCGTGGTGGTGCACACCTGTAATACCAGTTACTTGGGAGGCTGAGGCAGGAGAATCACTTGAACCCAGGAGGCGGAGGTTGTAGTGAGCCGAGATCATACCATTGCACTCTAGCCTGGGCAACAAGAGTGAAACTCTATCTCAAAAAAAAAAAAAAAAAAAAACCGGGTCAGCATCTTCCAAACAATATAATGCCTGTCAGCAAGAGTAAAGGTTAAAGAAAAAGACTTTGGTTGCTTTGTCTTAGCATCATTAATACACAAGCTTCTGATATTCAGGGACATTATTAAGGCACTATCAACTCTCATAGTTTACTTTTTTCCTATTGTTCTGCATATTAGAGACTCTTACTGTTTTTGGTTGGTTCAAACTCTAAAAACATTTTTCAGATAATTGTGTAAGCATAAAATAACATTTAGTGTAAAAATTAATGATTTAAAATTTGTATCAATTGTTATTAAGATTCAGTAGTAAGCTTAGGAAGTTTTAATTTAAAAGACATTGTATTCTATAGTAGATTGTTTTTAGTTATTTGCTGCCTTTATTCTTATTTTTTTATTTTACTTTATTTTTTTTGAGACGGAGTCTTACTCTGTTGCCCAGGCAGGAGTGCAGTGGCACGATCTCAGCTCACTACAACCTCCGCCTCCCAGGTTCAAGCGATTATCCTGCCTCAGCCTCCTGAGTAGCTGGGACTACAGGTGCGCACCACCATGCCCGACTAATTTTTGTATTTTTAGTACAGACGGGGTTTCACCCTGCTGGTCAGGCTGGTCTCAATCTCCTGACCTTGTGATCTGCCTGCCTTGGCCTCCCAAAGTGCTGGGATAACAGGTGTGAGCCACCGCTCCTGGCCATTTGCTGCGTTTATTCTAAGAGGACTACATATCCCTATATGGTTTACATTCCTCCTGGTATATTCCTCCTCTACTGATGCTAAGGCCATATTACTTTGGTGAGCAGAAGTGACTAATATATGCTACCTCCAGGTGTTAGCTTTAAAAGACATCACAGCGTTTGGCCATCTCTTTTTCCTATGCCAAGAGCCTAGGATGTCCTGGCTGAGGGTCCTAGGATAAAGAAAACATGGAGCAGAGTCAGCACCAACACATGAGGATATGTATCACGAGTGAGGGCTAAACTTTTGTAAGTCATGGAGATCTGGGGACTGTTTCTGCAGCACAACCTAGTGAAAGCTAGCTTAACGTGAATTAAAAACCTACCAAATCTCAATGTATTCCCATTTGCTTCCTTCTAGAGATGGATAAAAAATGACACTGGAAGTTTTCCTGACCATTTAAACACAAAACAGAAGCTTTATTTGCATAATTGACTTCAAAACAACAATGGTTTCAACTGAAAATTCTGGTTGTGAACTCCTAATATTACTTATTTATAAGTTATATACACGTGTTACTGTATAAAAGTATATACTGTATAACAAAACACACAGAAATAGAAAATGTTAAAGTATTAGGTAAGTAAGTAAACTAACACAGAAACAAAAAACCAAATACCACATGTTCTCACTTACAAGTGGGAGCTAAACACTCGGTGCACACGGACATAAAGACAGGCTCGACATAAAGACTGGAGACTATAAGAGGGGAGAAAGAGCGGGGGAAGAGTTGGAAAACTACCTGTTTGGTACTATGCTCACTACCCAGGTGATCGGTTCCATCATACCCCAACCCTCAGCATCACACAACACATTAGCGTAATAAACCTACAAACTGTCCCCTGAATCTAAAATAAAAGTTGAAAAAAGCAAAACTAAATAAATTATTAGGTAAAAAAGAAATACAGTATATGGCTTTAAAGATATTGGTTAATAGTACAAAAGCAAAAACCTTTTTTTCCTCAGGCCTTTTTTTTTGAGACGGGAGTCTCCCCTCGTTGCCCAGGCTGGAGTACAGTGGCATGATCTCGGCTCGCTGCAACCTCCGCCTCTTGGGTTCAAGGGATTGCCCTGCCTCAGCCTCCCGAGTAGCTGGGACTAAGGCACATGCCACCACACCCAGGTCATTTTTGTAGTTTTAGTAGAGATGGGGTTTTGCCATGTTGGTCAGCCTGGTCTCGAACTCCTGACCTGAAGTGATCTGCCTGCCTCGGCCTCCCAAAGTGCGGGGATTACAGGTGTGAGCCACTACACTTAGCCTTCTCCCTCACTCTTGGAGGGTGAACACATCTTCATTTTAGTTTGAAGGAAGCCATTTATTTATGCTTATTTCTAATTGTAACATTAAGCTCTTAGCCTGTAGCTCTTGATATATAAACATAACAACAAACAATAACTTTGTAAGAAACCAACTAAAGCAGCAAGTACCTGCATAGCAATAGGTCCTTGGGACATCTGAGAGCTGTAATTCATTCCCATAATGCCTTGCATATTAGGCTGCATGACAGAGACCATAGGAAATCCTTGTTGCTGCATCGGCATCAGGCCTGCTGAAAACATAAAGACATTATTAAAGTCAATGTATTTTAAAGTTTATTTTCTTAAAACCATAAGTACCTAAAGGACTTGTTACTTGGCAGGAAGCAGAGTGTAATGGAAAAAGTACAGGGTCGAGTGAGACAGATATGAACATGAATTCCAACTCCGTCATTTACTTAGCTGTGTGATCTTGAACAAGTTACAAAACTTCATCTGTAAAATGAAGATAGTATCTCTTCTATGGAATTTGTATGCATACTAAAAAACAGTATGGCCTAACTGGGGTACTCAGCCTTCAAGATGGCCTCCAGTGACCTCTGTCTCCTGGTATTCATACTCGTGTGTTGTTCCATTCCATACTGAATGGGGCTGACCAGTATAACCAATAGGATACTGTGGAAATGACAGCATATAACTTTGAAGGCCAGTTATTTATTTATTTATTTTTGAGACAGAGTCTCACTCTGTCACCCAGGCTGGAGTTCAGTGGCATGATCTCAGCTCACTGCAACTTCCACTTCCTGGGTTCAAGGCTCCCAAGTAGCTGGGACTACAGGTGTCTGCTAATTTTTGTACTTTTAGTAGAGATGGGGTTTCGCCGTCTTGGTCAGGCTGGTCTTGAATTCCTGACCTCAAGTGATCCACCCGCCTCAGCCTCTCAAAGTGCTAGGATTACAGGTGTGAGCCACTGCGCCTGGCCCGGAGGCTAGTTCTTAAAAGACACTGTAGTTTCCTCCTGGTTCTTTTGGATCACTCGCTCTGGAGCACTGCCACATTATGAAATACTCAATAAGACCTATGGAGAATCCATGTGGTAAGGTACTGAGGTCTTCTGCGAAAAGGCAGCATGAATTTGCCATCTATCTCAGTGAGCCACCCTGGAAGCAGTTCCATGAAACTTTCAGATGACTGCAAGCCTGGCTCATCTTCACTACCATCTCATAAGAGGTCTTGAGCCTGAACCACCCAGCAGAGCTACTCTTAGATTCCTGACCCACAGACACACTATGAAATAATAAAATGTTTACTTTTTAAAGTTCGGGATAATCTGTTACACAGCAGCAGATAACTAACAAAATAACAGGAGCATGAACTCTAGGAGCCAACTAGAAATGCCACATACTTCTTTGGAACCTTGGGCAATTTGCTTCTTTCTATGCCTTGGTTTCTCATTTGTAAAACTGTTTAATACTTACTATGCTCAAAGAAATGTTATTCTTCTTCCTTTTTCTTACATGAATAGGTAATGTAACAGTTACCACAAAGTAGCCATCAGTATGTGCAATGGCAGAAAACTATCATGAAAGTATGATTTAGGCTAGTGTTTCCCAAACTTTTCCAAGAGCAGAGGTGAATGAATATACATCTCTTTGGGATTTTAATAAATACTAAACGCCTACCATATGCTAGGCATAGTTCTATGTGCTTGGTACACAGAAGTGAATAAAACAAAATCCTTACATAGCCTGAGCACAAATTTCATTCTAATTTTGCATTCAAACTACATCCATGTTGGTTCCACCATAAGGAACTTTATATCAAACTGTCGATTTGAAAAATTAAAGATCTAGGAAATCATACCATGTTTATCTTATGGCTTTTGTGTACCTTCCAGGTTATCTATAACCTAGCCTAATTTCAGAAGCATGGACATCCACATTGTGGCTAACAGTTATTTGAGGTAGACCATTCACTTATTCAAGTATTTGAGGCCTACTCCATATTAGGCACTGTTCTGGGGACACAGCCATGAATAAAACCAGGTCTTCACTCTCATGGAGCTTACACTGTAATCAGGAGAGACAGACAACAAAAAAATAAGTACATGTCAGGTGGTGATAAGAGCTGGGGCCAAAAAATAATAAAGCAGGGCAAGAGGGAACGGAGTGGTTGATATTTTACATAGGGCAATCAGAAAAAGTTTCACCAACAGGGTGGTATTTCAGAAAGGTCCTCAAGAAAATAAAGAACCAAGCCATGCAGGTGTTTGGGAAGAATATTCCAGACCAAAGAACACCAAGTACAAAGATCACAAGGTGTCAGGGAGAATTAAAATACACAGATTGAAAACAGCCACCGTAAGATGTTTTCTGTCTTATTTCTTTGGACTTAAAAGTTTTATTCATTTTAATTGATTTTATTTTATTTCTGAATGGGTAACTCACATATCTGGCATAATATTTCAAGGCACAAAAGTGTACACAGTAAAAAATAGGTCTCTTTCTCTCCTCTGTCTCCTATTCAAGTACTCACGATCTTGTGGCCACCCTTGCTGTCGGTTTCTTACATATGTTTTCAGAAATGATGCACGCATAATTTAAAGCCTTCAAATGATCCAAAAGTTCATCCTAAAAACTGTTATAAAAAATCTCCAAACCAATTCCAAATTCCCTAAGAAAAAATATCAGGCAACATTTTGAGAGCTCTTCTTGTCCAGTTCCTTCGCTCCATAGGTATATTTTTACTTGAAAATGTGTAGAAATGCAAAATAACAAACCATGATAATGAACACATAACTCTGTAATACCTTCCTAAAGAACAAAAGATCTCAAACCATTTGATCTCAATCTGGGACACATCTAATTACAGATAGCTTAAATAATGCATAAACGTGAACACGATCAAAAGAATACAGCTGACCCTTGGAAAAACTTGCCTGAAACTCAACCGCCATCACTGATTATAAATGAAGACAAAGTCAGGATGAGCCACTGACCATCTGCTACTGAGCTGCTCTTTATCTTTTATCTCTACTGCTGACCTACGAGTCTCTGTTTCTCCAGCAAATCTATGACAACCAATCAACGCTGGCTTTTTAAGAAGAGCCAGTTTTCAGAAGCAGCTTGGTGTGAGGGGAGAGGGAATACATCAGAGTGGGAGAAGTGAGTGGAAAAAAAGCCAGAGAAAGGCAGATCTATTCCTTCTTCACTGTTGTGTCCCAGCTGCATGGCAGCATGGGTCAAAATTATATTCCTTCACTACTATTTCCTTGAAGATAAAGCTAGAATTGATATTGGTGGGTCCTGGTCTCAGACCAAGAGAGAAGAGGTATACTTAGTACAGAAATTTCTAGGAATAGAACTGAGACTTATATGACATGGTGGCTCATGCCTGTAATCCCAGTGCTTTGGGAGGCCAAGGCAGGAGAATCGCTTGAGCCAAGGAATTTGATACCAGCCTGGGCAACATAAGGAGACCGTGTCTCTACAAAATATTTAAAAATTAGTCAGGCGTGGTGGTATGCACCTGTGGTCCCAGCTACCCGGGAAGCTGAGGTGGGAGAAATGCTTGAGCCTAGGAGGCCGAGGCTATGCAGTAAGCTATCACTGTGCCACTTGTACTCCAGCCTGGGCAAAAGAGCAAGACCCCATCTCAAAAAAATAAAATAAAAATAAAAAACCAAAACCAAACAAAATCCTGAGACTTAAATACTTTAAGCTGAATCAGAGTATGTGATCTCTTTTAATTTCAAAATTATATGTTTATAAAACATGATTATAAGATACTATCATATAGAGAAAAAATAGCAGTGTGAAACAACTAAAGATGTTCATTTATTCATTCAACAAACATCTACAGAGAACCTATTATGTTAAATCAACATGCTGGGTGCTAGAGATAAGGCTAGATGAGCATTAGACAGACATGGCACTAACAATCTAGCAGAAGACTAGACAGAAGGAGAAAGACATCATTAAGTGAATTACAGCTCATTTCATTTTTATCACATGTTCCTTAACATTCTTGTCCTAAAAGTCTCTTTCACCTCTGAGGTTAAACAATCTATGAACGTAATGTTTATATAAGTTTGGGAGAAATGAGGAGTGACCCTTATTACTCCCAAAATTATATAATTTTTGAGAAATTTTAAGAGTAGCTGTCATATAGGTTTAAGAGTGTAGAAAATTTTACTCTATTTAGCAGCAATAGAACTTATTTTCCATTTACTTATTTAATTCCAGATTCAGAAACACAAGAGTGAAAAATAAAAGTTCAAAACTTAAACTTTCACATACCTTGAGGGGGTCTTATCCCACCTGCAACAGGAAACATGAAGCTGAAAACAGAATAAAAATACATCATAATCTTCATATGTACAAAGATTTTCAAATAACAAATGTACTTTTTTATATGGATGAAAGACTCGTAGATGGGACCTGGTGTTTATTCTGTACCACAATACTGAATTGTCTAACATCAGTAGACTGAGAGCATCCATAGGATGCATGTCACTATGTTAGTGCAGACGGAAACTTGTTGAAACAGAAGACAGAAGACCCTGAAACTAGTCCTGGCTCTGTCACTGTGTGTCCTCTCTGGATTCCAATTTCCCCATCTATAAAATGAGAGACTTCAGATTCAATTCAGTCAACATCTATTGAGTGTCAACAACATGAAATGATGGAATCTTATAAGCAAAAATACACATATGCAGGCAAATAACTATACCACAGGGTAAATGTGCTAACTGCTATAAGCGAGGTCGAAATTATTAATAGGGATGAGAAGAAAAAGATGAATTTAATCTATACCTTGAGAAGTTTTATAGAAGTAGCTCTGGAGCTGAATCTTAAAGAAAAATAGAAGCACACTATACATTTTGAGCAAAAGCTCTGAGGCAGAGATGCAGGGATGTTTGGAGAAATGAATGTAGGTTAAATGTTAACTATATGATTTAAAAGCTAGCAGATTGTACAGGGCCTTTATTTATTTTTATTTTATTTATTTATTTATTTTTGAGATAGAGTTTTGCTCTTGTTGCCCAGGCAGGAGTGCAATAGTGCGATCTTGGCTCACTACAGCTTCTGCCTCCTGTGTTCAAGCAATTCTCCTGCTTCAGCCTCCTGAGTAGCTGGGATTACAGTTGCCCACCACCATGCCTGGCTAATTTTTTTTATTTTCAGTAGAGACAGGGTTTCACCATGTTGGCCAGGCCAGTCTCAAACTCCTGACCTCAGGTGAGCCATCGCACCAGGCCGAGGGCCTTCAAAATGTTTAATTTTATTTTTAATATTATATGAAGTTGTGAGAGGTTTTATTGTTATTGTGGCAACATATACACAACATAAAATTCTATCATTTTAACCATTTTTAAGTGTATAATTCCACGGCATAATTAAGGACATTCACAATGTTGTGCAACCATTACCACTATCCATTTCCAGAACTTTTCCATCATCCCAAACAGAAACTCTGTACCCATTAAACCCTAAGTCCTCACTTTACAGCATAAGAAAGCTCTCTTCTAAGGGTTAAGCTGACACCTTTTAAAAATTTTTATTATTATAATTTTTTTGTGACAGAGTTTGCTCTTCTCATCCAGGCTGGAGTGTGACAGCACGATCTCAGTTCACTGCAACCTCTCCGCCCACCAGGCTCAAGTGATTCTCCTGCCTCAGCTTCCCATGTAGCTGGGACTACAGGCGAGCACTACCACACCCTGCTAATTATTGTATTTTCAGTAGAGACAGGATTTCACCATTATGGCCAGGCTGGTCTTGAACTCCTGGCCTCATGATCTGTCCGCCTCGGCCTCTCAAAGTGCTGGGGTTACAGGCGTGAGCTACCGCACTTGGCCTAGGCTCTTTTAAATAAAGGTTAAGTCTGGGCGACAGAGTGAGACTCTGTCTCAAATAAATAAATAAAGGTTAAAAAATTAAGCTCTGGCCAGGCACAGTGGCTCACGCCTGTAATCCCGGCACTTTGGGAGGCAGAGGCGGGCAGATCACCTGAGGTTGGGAGTTCGAGACCAGTCTGATCAACATGGAGAAACCCCGTCTCCACTAAAAATTCAAAACTAGCTGGGCGTGGTGGCGCATGCCTGTAATCCCAGCTACTCAGGAGGCTGAGGCAGGAGAACCGCTTGAACCCGGGAGGTGGAGGTTGTGGTGAGCTGAGATCGCACCACTGCACTCCAGCCTGGGCAACAAGAGTGAAACTCCATCTCAAAAAAAAAAATAAATAAATAAAAAATAAGCTCTGGTTGTAGATGAAATAGCCAAGGGCATGAATATATATATCCAGTAACAAAACAACTAAGGACAAACATCGAGAATTCTTTTTTATTTTTTATTTTTTTTGAGACAGAGTCTGGCTCTTTCGCCCAGGCTGGAGTGCAGTGGCACCATTTCGGCCCACTGCAAGTTCTGCCTCCCGAGTTCACGCCATTCTCCCGCCTCAGCCTCCCAAGTAGCTGGGACTACAGGCACCTGCCACCATGCCTGGCTAATTTTTTGTATTTTTTAGTAGAGACAGGGTTTCACCATGTTAGCCAGGATGGTCTTGATCTCCTGACCTCATAATCCGCCTGCCTCAGCCTCCCAAAGTGCTGGGATTACAGGCGTGAGCCACTGCGCCCAGTCCTGACACTTGGAGAATTCTTACAGTGAAAACTGAGTAGGAAATGGTCATTGAGAACCAAGGGAGTCCTTATAACAGAGTTGTAACTGAAGAAGGACCACATTTCAAGAAGGAAGTAGTTACCAGCGTCTAATGCTGTAGAATAGTGGTGAGAACAAAGATTAAAAAATAAATCACTGTTTTCAAAAACGGTGATCATTGAGTGAGTTAGTTTCAACAGAGAAAGAGGAAGAGACCCTAGGGAGAAAAAATTTAAGAGACAAAATACATACTTAGTGATTGATAAGCTTTTTAAGGAAATGGGATTAACACACAAAGTAGCAAAAGGGGGCCACATGAGGGGGTGCATGTCTGTAATCCCAGGACTCTGGGAGGCCAAGGCAGGCGGATCAGTTGAGGCCAGGAGTTCAAGACCAGCCTGGTCAACATGGCAAAACACCATCTTTACTAAAAATACAAAAGTTAGCCAGTTGTGGTGGCATGTGCCCGTAATCTCAGCTATCCAGGAGGCTGAGACATGAGAATTGCTTGAACCCAGGAGGCAGAGGTTGCAGTGAGCCGAGATTGCTGAGCCACTGCACTCCAGCCTGAGCAACAGAGCGAGACTCTGTTTCAAAACAAAACAAAACAAACAAACTAGCAAAACGGATCTGGTTTGAAAACGAAGTGGGACTTCTTTCTCTGAGCCTAGAAAGAAAAAGGGACAAATCAAGGAAGACTTCTGAGTGAGAAAGGCTCTTAATCTGGAAGTCAAGGATCTGAAAAGAAGGTTTCCAGATACTCTTTAGAAAATCTAGTGAATGGCTGGGCCTGGTGGCTCACACCCGTAATCCCAGCACTTTGGGAGGCCAAGGTGGGAGGATTGCTTGAGCCCATGAATTTGAGACCACCTTGGCAACATAGTGAGACCTCATCTCTCCAAAATAACAACAACAACAATAAAGAATATAAAAATTATAACAGTGATTCTTTTCCAGAAAGTTTTCAATTTACTGTGCCCAGTTCCATCAAAAGAAATCAGTATCTATGGGCATTATAGCCTTATGAAATAAATTTCTCAAATAATAAGAGATGAAAGGAGAAATTACTCCTTGATTCATGGACTGCAGAATGGATGTTGTTTTAGCAGGCATGAGAACATTAAACTTCTTATGCATTGTCATCAGAGCTCTTGGGTGACCAGGCACATTGTCAATAAGCAGTAATATTTTCAAAAGAATCTTTTTTCTGAGCAATTGGTCTCAACAATGGGCTAAAAATACTCAATAAACCATGCTGTAAACAGATGTGCTGTCACTGAGGCTTTGTGGTTCAATTTATGGAGTATAGGCAGAGTAGATTTAGCATACTTTTAAAAAGCCCTAACATTTTCAAAGTGGTCAATGAGCATCGGTTCAATTTAAAGTCACCAGTTGCATTAGGCCCTAACAAGAGAGTCAGCCTGTCCTTTGGCACCAGACATTGACTTCTCTTCTCTAGCTAGGAAAGTCCTAGGTTGCATCTTCGTCTGCACTGAAAATCTGGCCAGACATGGTTGCTCATGCCTGTTAATCCCAGCACTTTGGGAGGTCAAGGCAGGTCAGGAGTTCGTGACCAGCCTGGCCAACGTAGTGAAACCCCATCTCTACTAAAAATATAAAATTAGCCAGGCATGGTGGCGCGTCTGTAATCTCAGCCACTGGGGAGGCCTAGGCAGAAGAATCACTTGAACCTGGGAGGCGGAGGTTGCACAGAGCCAAGATTACGCCACTGCACTCCAGCCTGGGTGACAGAGTGAGACTCTGTCTAAAAAAAAAAAGAAAACAGAAAATCTATTGTTTAGCATAGCCACCTTCATCAATGATCTTAGCTCTTCTGAATAAGTTGCTAAAGCTTCTACATCAGCACTTGCTGCTTCACCTTGCACTTTTATGTTATGGAGACACCTTCCTTCCTTAAACTTCATAAACCGACCTGTTAGCTTCCAACTTTTCTTCTGCAGCTTCCTCACCTCTCTCAGCCTTCAGCCTTCACAGAATTGAAGAGACTAAGGATCTTGCTCCAGATTAGGCTTTGGCTTAAGGGAAAGTTAAGGGTGGTTTAATCTTCTATCCAGACCACTCACCCTTTCTCATTATCTGCAACAAAGCTGTTTCACTTTCTTAACACTTGTGTTTCCTGGAATAGGACTTTTAATTTCCTTCAAAAACTTTTCCTCTGCATTCACAACTTAGTTTAACTGGTGTAAGAGGCCTAGCTTTTGACCTACCTCAGCTTTCAACACTTAATGACTAAGCTTTATCATTTCTAGCTTCTGATTTAAAGGGAGAGATGTGCGACTCTTCCTTTCACTTGAACACTTAGAGGCCATTGTAGGGTTCATCGGCCTAACTTCAATACTGTTATGTCTCAGGCAATATGGAGGCCCTTGGAGAGGAAGACAGGGGAACAGCTGGCAGGTGGAGCAGTCAGATTACACAAAACATTTATCCATTACGTTTGCTGGCTTATACGAGCTGGGTTTGTGGTGCTCCAAAACAATTACACCAGTAACATAAAAGACACACTGATCACAGATTACCAAAACAAATAATAATAATGAAAGAGTTTGAAATATTGTGAGAATTACCAAAATGTTACAGAGACATGAAGTGAACACAGGTTGTGGAAAAATTGTGCGGATAAACTTGCTCAATGCAGGGTTGCCACAAACCTTCAATTTATAAAAAACACTGTATCTGCTAACTGCAATGAGGTATGCCTGTATTCAGTTTTTAAAGACATTACTCATATGCTAAAATTGATAAATTTAGGAGCAATGAACACATTTAAGTAATCAAGCTGTCAAGGTTTTTAAAAATCAGCCTTAAACATTTAAATTAGTCATATGGTCTAGTGGCTCAGAAGAATTGGAAACTCGTGTTATATTTTCTTTCTTCCAGCTTTGCCATAAAGTAACTGTGAAGCTCTGTGCAATCTCCTTCACCCCCTGTCTGGTTTCCCCTCTGTCAAATGAGGATGTAGAATCAAGTCTGACAAAGTCTCAGCTAAGACAATCACATAGACATAAATACATAAACAGATGTATAAAGGTTCCTTTGAAAACAAAATAAAAACAAAAGTAAGACTACTGACAAACATGACTTTGGTAAGAATTTAGCAACTCGAACTGCTAAGTGACCTATGAAAAATTTGTATTTTTCTCTGAAATGTTTAGACAACTAATATCAACATGCTTAAAGATTGGTTAGATAAGCAGCTGAGGCATTAATAAGACAGTAAAAGCTTGGCAAAAAACTGGGCAGCAAAATGACCAACAATTTAATTACAAAGGTGAAATCACTAATTCATATATTACTGATATCTCAGTATGAAAGCAGAGCTCTGTCACTTACCTATCTCATCCGTCCCTCCTTTTCAGTTACCTTTGCTACTAACCTAGATTTGACACTAGCCTTCACTTCTTAGGCCTAGACTCCTAAAGACTTCCTAATGGATCACCCCTCCTCCAGACTCTGGTTTCTAATTCATCTGATGCAGCACAAGTGACAGACATCTTTCTAAATGATGAACCATTACTCAGTAATTAAACAGTCCTTTAGCAAGATGCACTCCTGGAGTTAAAACTATGGAATGATTTCCCTGAAACTGAATTTCCTTAGTTTAAACTCAAGGCCCTCTCTAGTTTGGGCACAACTCTACTTTTCAGTTTTACAAGGAAACTAATGTTAGTTTCCTTATAAAATAATCTCACAAAACTCTTCACCACCACTCGGAGCCACAGTCATCTGGCACTGCAGGTACGTTGTTTCCTTAGTGTTCACTAGGCCTTCCCAGCTCTACAACAATCTCTTGACCGCTTCCTCTTCCTCTAATTGTAACCCAACTGAAATACCACTTCTTTGCCTTTGATGTAGCTGGAATCCACAAATACTTACAGAATGTTTTTTATGTGCAAAAATGTGCTAGAAGCAGTGGAAGAAGAAAAGATGAGGAAGCCCTCTAAAAGCTTGTAAAAGACAGGAAAAAATAGACAAGTTCATAAATGATAACATTCTAGAAGAACGTGACCTCTTTTGTTCTCTTTTACTTTGTACCACAGTTATTTTGTACATTCTCCAAGGATGGGGACCATGTTTTGATGTCTTTTTAATTCATTACAGCATCAAGAACAGTACCTTACCCATGTAGGCATTCAATGACTACAGACTAATTCAGACCTTTCAACTTTTTTTTTCTGCCTTACTTGATTTAAAAAAAAAAAAGAATTATACTTCTCATCTCTTGGGCAAATTTTGCCATTTATACAACTCTACCATTTATTCTAAAGTAGCTCATTCAGGACACCAATCAAAAGTAGGCTAATATTAAATTTGGAAACATTATTGTCTTTTGCTTAGCCTCTCAGAATAGAGAGAAGTATCCAAACAATACAGTCAGTTATAGTTCATGGATTTTCTCCATTAAAGGTGTAGAGAAGTTGCCTGTTCTTTTTCTTCTAACATACTTAGGTTGCCATAATGTTAGTTTCCTTATAAAATAATTTCAGGGAGGGTGGGTGGCAAAAAGAAAATTAAAAATAAAATAGCTTCAGCCTTTACCATAACTCTCTAAAAAAACATAGTATTTCTTTTTCTATTGAGGATACAGCTTCTCAGTCTCAGAAAGTTGCCAATATATGTAACATGTACCACACATTTTTCAAGGTAAGGATAATTTTTACCATTTCTTTCTCTCCCATATATCGTTTACAGTTTTAGAATACAGATGTTACTACATTTACAAAGGAGGGAAATTTTAAAATCATTCTATCAAAATTCAACCCATATTCATTTAAAAAATTTGCGTCCATGGACGAATGATACTCAAATACTATAAACTAAAGGGAATAATGCACTTGAACCTGAGGTCCTCCCCACCCAAAAACCTTTCTTTTTAAGTAAATAACAATTTGGGCCTAGATATCAATTCTTCTAAGTTTACATTTTCCCAGAACTTGGTGCCATGATTAATCATATACTTGATCAAATTAATACCACCCAGGGATATTTTAGAAACTGTAATCACACATAGGAAATAAATAGAGGATGACGGGCGTGGTGACTCACGCCTGTAATTCCAGAACTTTGGAAGGCCGAGGTGGGCGGATCACTTGAGGCCAGGAGTTTGAGACCAGCCTGGCCAACATGGTGAAATCCCGTCTCTACTAAAAACACAGAAATCAGTTGGGCGTGGTGGAACATGCCTGTAATCCCAGCTACTTGAGAGGCTGAGGCAGGAAAATCGCTTGAACCCGGGAGGTGGAGGTTGCACTGAGCCGGGATCGTGCCACGGCACTCCAGCCTGGGTGACAGAACGAGACTCTGTCTCAATCGATCAATCAACAAAAATTAGCTGGGCATGGTGGCGCGCATCTGGGGGTAATCCCAGCTACTCCAGAGGCTGAGGCAGGAGAATCATCTGAACCTAGAGGCAGAGGTTGCAGTGGGTCGAGATCGCGCCGCTGCACTCTGGCCTGGATAACAGAGCGAGACTTCCTCTCAAATAAAAAAAAAAGAAAAAAAAAAAAAAAGACGAAAAAAGAAAAAAAAGAAAAGAAAACAAATAGAGGGGACATTATTACATGTGTTTCTTCTCCAGCCAGAAACTGGCTTATACCAAGTATTTATTTTTTTAAAAACCCTCTAATGAAACAACGAAGAGAACAAAAGAGAAAGCAAAAAGTTTAAAAATCTTAAGTCTAAGATGTGCAGAGGAAATGAAAAATGGGGTTGCACACAGGTGGTTTATTGAACAGCCACTGCTCGTTTCCTGACATACACACAAGCACCCGCAAGAGGTGATAACTTTAAGGTCCTCACACTTTTGTAGTGTTCACGACTCCGAAATTCAAACACTGCATGTAAAAACAAAAAAAACAACAAAACAAAACAAAACCTAACACTTCGATTTCCAAAGATAATTTAGGGTCCCTCCAAATGTGTGTGCTGTTATGTGTTGGTTAGTAAAACAAAATCAGACTAGGTCATTATAGAAGTGGAGTGAAAACTTTCCGGAATAAAATATTTCCTTAAATGATAATGAACCTGTCAACTTGCAAATGTACATCTCCCTTATCGTTCTGGGTAGAAGCACCACAGCCAGTTCTTGGCTGAAATGTGGCAGAGGGCAGATGTGTTTAAGGGCTAAGAGTCTGGAAGCTTTGTTCTAATAAATGCGCAACTGCTGTTTAACAGTGCATTTTCTTTGTTTTTAAATGCCTTTTTAAAAAGGAGACAGACAAGTCTTAAGAGTTAGTGTACAAGACAATAACTCTATCTCAAGACCATTACTAATTCAGAGGTCTTTAGATGTTCCTGCCGTTTGTCGCGGGTTAAGGAAATATAAAGAGGACAGGACACTCTAAAAGGGGAAGAGACAAATCGTCCACACACACACCCCCTTGGAAACAGTCATCCAGCTTTGTGAACAGATTTTTAGAGCCCTCCCTCCAACATATCTGGTTAAGTCCAGAAAGCCCAGGGAAAGGGAAGACCCTGGTCGCTTCAAGGCAGCCAGGACTAGGAACGGAGTCGGGGTTCCTGATTTACCCCGCCCCCCCCCACCCCAAGAGGACCCTCATCTTCTCTCCCCTCCCACACTGGGCGCGCGCCCGCTCCCCGCTCGACCCCAGGCGGCCGGCGTCCCCAAATGAGCCCGGAACACAAGCGTCGGGCACCCGGGCTCCACACGCCCCTTTCGTCCTGGGTCCCTGGGGGATGACCCTCCTCCTGCAGCCCAGTTCCAAGGAAAAGAATCGGAGCTGGAGAAAACCGCCATAACCGCCAAGCGCCCCTCGCCGTCCCCGCGGAGGCCAGGGGGTTCCTGCCCGGTCCTTCACACCTACCTGCCTCCCCCGGCGGCCCCCGCGCCGGCTCCCGCGGCCCCGCCGCCGCCAGACCCAGCTCCTGGCCGCAGCGCCATCTTGCTCCCGGCCTGCCGCTGCCCTCGCCGCCGCCAACTTATCAGCAGCTGTCAGAGGAAGACATCCACTTCCGGGGCAAACACCAGGCCCCACCTCGCCGCGGACAGGGCGATGGGGCGGGGCCGCGCGCCCACGTGACTTCCCCGGCCCTCGGGGAGGCGTGGCGCGCCCACGGCACGTGATAGGGCGCCGCAGAGGTCCCCCAGGTTCAATTCTAGCTCTCGGGGTGGTGGGGCGTTCGCAGGCGCCTGTCCAAGGGAGCTGATTCATTGTCTGGTAGGCCCTCTGCAGGGCCCAGGTGGTGGCCCAGTGGCAAAGCGCCGTTGGTCCTCCGTTTGAAAACCATGATCGCGGTTAGTGGAAAGAGTAGGCTGAGTCCTGATTTTTAAACTAGACGGTGGGTACACTGGTGTTCTCTCTTTACACACAAAGAACAGATAGCTCCTGAAGGGCCCTTTGATAGTCTCGCAGCACTGATTAGTGATCAGCTGTCCCCCCTTTCTCTGGAACTCGGCAGCTTCATGTTGGCACCTATCACAGATGCTGAAGGCATTTAAATTTTATTTTAAATCAACCAAAGCACAAAAACCCAACCCATATTTCAAAAAAAACTCCAAGGTGTACTACTCTTGTTTGTTTCTGCCATCCTGCCACCTTACAGTCCCTTTGTTTTTCCTATTCTTGCAGGTAAGTGCAAAACAGTGGTTTTTGGGAAGCAGTTCGTAACTACTCTGAAGCTATTTCGGCATTTTTTTAACTGAATTTTTTTTTTTTTTTTTTGGAGACAGGGTCTTGCTGTGTTGTCCAGGCTGGAGTGCAGTGGCATGATCACGGCTCACAGCAGCCTCAACCTCCCGGGCTCAAGCGATCTTCTCACCTCAGCATCCTGAGTAGCTGGGACCACAGGCATGCACCACCACACGGGGCCAATTTTTTTTTGTAGAGATAGGATCTATGTTGCCCAGGCTGGTTTCAAACTCCTGGGTTCAAGCTATGCTCCCGCCTTGGCCTCCCAGAGCCAGGGTGTGAGCCCTAAGCCACATGCCTGGACTGTGATTTTTTTTGTTTGTTTTAATCAAACTACTATCTGGAAGTAAAACATAAAAGTTGAGTACTTTTCTCAAGCATGTAGTTTGCTTGTTAGCAAGTAATGGATTAATTAGCTTTATTTTTTCACTCTTGTCTCAGGGTTTTTACTGGGTAACAATTTGTAATAAGTTATTTATTAGGCACAAACCACTGGTCAGGAACTGTAAGCCCATTTTAAAAAATCCTCAGTATCCTTAGGAGTTACAATTGGCATCTTACAGATGAGAAAATCAAGGTTAGAAACAACGTCATTTGTCCAGATCATACAGCTACAAGCAAATAGGATCAGGATTCAAATCCAGGCCAGTTTGACGCCAAAGTCCTTGCTCATTCACTAGAACCAGCTATTCAATTTTTGTTTTTTGTTTCTGTCTTTTGCTGTAACTGTCTATTCACTAATTTCACTCCTTCCCTTCCCTGGGTGAAGCTGAAATTTATGCAGCACGCAGTTCAGACTGCTTTGAAGGAGCTAAATTTAGTATTAATACATTGACTAAGTTGATGCAGGTTACTGTAGATACTTTAAACAGACACAATAAAGACAAGGATCATAGATGTGACCTCAGTTTGTCTTGGAATACTTTTTGTTCCTCTTCTTTACCTATTGGTTTTTACATTTGTAGGATTCAACTCAGGATGTCGGCCTTCCATGACATCCCCAATCTGGGTTAGATGCCCTCCTGTGATGCTTTAGCATCATGGCCTTACATCTAACAGCACTTGTCACACTAGTCATGTGCTACATGATGATGTTTTGGTCAGCCACAGACAGCAGATACAATGGTGGGATGAGAAGTGGGGGTGGAAGTCAGTGAGACTGATGATCCTGACCTTTTGTAGGCCTAGCATAATGTGTGTGTTTGTGCCATGGTTTTTAACAAAAAAGTTTAAAAGTAAATAGTAAAATAAAACAAAAAAAAAACTTAATAGGAAAAAAAGCTTCTAGAATAAGGGTATAAAGAAAGAAAATATTTTTCTACGGCTGTACGTTTGCATTTTAGGCTAAGTGTTATTACAAGAGTCAAAAAGTTTATAAAGGCCAGAGGCAGTGGCTCACCCAAGGTCAGGACTTTGAGACCAGCCTGGCCAACATGATGAAACCCCGTCTCTACTAAAAATACAAACATTAGCTGGGTGTGGTGGTGCATGCCTGTAGTCCCAGCTACTCGGGAGGCTGAGGCAGGAGAATCACTTGAACCCAGGAGTCAGAGGTTGCAGTGAGCCGAGATCATTCCACCGCACTCCAGCCTGGGCAACAGAGGAAGACTCCACCTCAAAAAAAAAATTTTTTTCTAAAAAACCCAACCTGGACAACAAGCGAAACCTCGTCTCTACAAAAAAAATTTAAAAATTACCTGAGTGTTGGTGGCCCACACCTATAGTACCAGCTATACAGGAGGCTGAGGTTTGAGGATCACTTGAGCCTAAGAGGTCAAGGCTGCAGTAAGCCATGATTGTGCCACTAAACTCCAGACTAGGCGACAGACACTGTTTCTCAAGAAAAAAAAAAAAACTCTTACAAAGTAAAAAAGTTACAGCACGCTAAGGTTACTTTATTGAAGAAAAAAAATATATATTATATATATGTAAAACATATATATATATAATATGTGTGTGTGTATATTTTCAAGAGAGTCTTGCCCTGTTGCCCAGGCTGGAGTGCAGTAGCGCGATCTCGGCTTACTGCAACCCCTGCCTCACAGGTTCAAGCTATTCTCCTGCCTCAGACTCCTAAGTAGCTGGGATTATGTTACCACACCTGGCTAACTTTTTTTGGTATTTTTCTAGTAGAGATGGGGTTTTGCCATGTTGCCTGGGCTGGTCTCAAACTCCTGAGCTCAATCTGCCCACCTAGGCCTCCCAAAGTGCTAGGATTACAGGCGTGAGCCACCACGCCTGGCCAAGAAAAATATTTTCAATAAATTTAGTATAGATTAAGTGGGCAGTGTTTATAAAAGTCTACATGTTCCAACAGTCTATAGCATTCAAGACAGTAACATGCTACACAGGTCTGTAGCCTAGGAGTGATAGACTGTACCACATAGCCTAGGTGTACAGTAGGCTATACCATCTAGGTTTGTGGAAGTATATAACATGATGTTTACACAATGACAAAATCACCTAACGATGCGTTTCTCAGAACATATCTCTGTCATTAAGTGATGCGTGACTCTATCTGCTCCTTTACTTTCTCTCTAACATTATATTGTAAGGGTAGGAACTGTGTTATCAAGCCTGTTTTTCTAACAAAATCTATGTGTGTTAAAGGAATATTTATTGTGAGTTTACTATGTGTCAGGTACAGTGCTAGGTACTTACAATTTGAGACACAATTTCATAGATGAGAACACTGAAACTCTGAGAAATTAAGAACTTATTCAAAGTCACACAGCTGGCAAATGGGTTGCACCAGTATACCTACCTCCAGAATATATATTGGGTAAAGGATCTGTTTGCATGAACAAACAAAAAAACTATATTCTTGTAAGTATTTTTACACCCTGTACCAGGTCTATCATTAAATAAATTCTGAAGATGAACAATTTTTGTCCCATCTAAAATATTCAAAACAAAGTCCACCTGTTCTGACTCTAGAAAAAGCTGCGAATAGAGGAAATAAATAAGTTGAATTCAAATGCTGCTGAGAAAAGGTAATGTATATTATAGTTCTGTAGTAGTACTGATAACATTCAAGTCATTCTTAGGCAACAGTCTTACGTGTATGAAGTCAATTTTTCATTCCATTGTACAAAACTCGTATCTGAGAAAAATCTAATAGTTAATAGTCTCCAACACCATATGATCATAATCCTTTAGCTTAGGCAGAGATCTGCTTACCAAATGAGGCGCCATCAACCTAAGGAAAGATAAGCTGTAACAGAATGAAGACAGAGGTATATCAAGTAACAGGAACATTCTTCCTTATCAGGATAAAATGTTTATCAGTATTCAAATAAAATAATCTTAAATGGAAAGAGACAGGAAAGAATATGGTTAAATGGTGGAAAATGAAGAAAGAGAGAAGCCGATCATGATCTTGTGCAACATCATGGCAGGGCTAAGGTATTAAGTATCCAATACAAGGATACTTAATAGACCAAAGAATTTAAAATCCCAGGGAACTTGAATAACCAGCCACAAAAGAGGCCTCTCTTTGTTGTGGTTCACAACACAAAAGGCCATCAACTAATTAGGAAATACTAAAATTAAGAGAGCAGCAGGTTTCTTCTTGGTAGACAGCCCATGCTACCAGCCACAAAGTGAGCAGTGGAAGGGGTATTTAATGTCAAGGCTTTATTTTGAATTTCTGTTCCAGATGCCTCTCCACAGCATTCATCACACCTTCCTTCACACTCAAAGGGAAAAGTCCTTAAGAGTTTACCACATTTTGGTGTTATTTTTAGCATAAACATTTGTTCTTCTATAAGAAGTATCTCTCTGGATTCAAACCAATGTCAATGAATGTTATTTCCATTGTATAATCATTTAAAAGTCACCTACAGAGCTGGGTGCAGCGGCTTGTGCCTGTAACCTCAGCTACTCGGGAGGCTGAGGCAGGAGGATTGCATGAGGTCAGGAGTTCAAGAGCAGCCTGGGCAACATGGCAAGATCCCATCTCTAAAGAAAAAAAAAAAAGGCACCTACAAATTGAAATTGACTTGATAGCTTAGGATCATTTTTCACCAGTCCCATGTACTTGTAGTTGATTTCAAATGTTTGGTACAGGTGACTGTAAGACTTCAAGTATTCCATGAAAACACCATTCATGTTGGGATCATAAAATTACATTTCTGGGATGGTATTTTTAAAGTCTGTTTTTAACTTTTGTCTTCAAGAGCTACTTTCTTCTTGCTGTTCTGACCAGTGACCTTTTTCCTGTAAAGAGCAAAGTAGGGAAAACGGAATAAAAAATTCTAGATATATTTACTTTCCATAACCCTACCACCAGTTTAATAAACATTTACTGAAACCTACTGTGTATCAAATAACGGGCACCAGGAACACAAGGATGCATTAGACATGGTCTCTGCCCTTTAGAAAATCAC